AAACATTCAAAATGTATTATTTTTCTTATTTGTCTGCAGTTTTCTATTATAAATATTTTGTATGCAAACACTATTTTGAAGCCCAAGCAGGGTTATTTGCTTGGAAAAGCTGTCCTTTGGCATGTATATACTTGGCAATTTTTGCAACTGCCAACCGGTAAATTACCAGTTTGTGTAAATGAGTAAATGATGTGACCTCTGTGCTAGCGCTGCTCGTTACAGTGTATTGCGAACACGCCTTTGATAAACAATCCAGCTCAAAAATTATGTGTGAGAGTATCAGCAATAAATTTTTTCAGCAGCCATTAAAATGTGACAACGAAGAGTTTGATTGCGATGTAGCTGAACTTGACCAAAAGACAAAACTAATTCCACATGTTATTTCTCAATCATCCATTATATATTGTTATTTCAATTTTGTACACTTGCCAAACATAGTATATTGTGTGCTGTATATCCTAACATAGCAGTCATTATTGCATGACTACTACAGCATATAAACTTGACCGAAGGCGCATAAAAGAATCACTTCGCTTGCATAATTGCTTTGAGTTGGTTGCAAATTCTGACCGAAAGAATATCTTTTACGAAAAGGCATTCAGATACAGGCACTGATATTGATCCCTTGGAGGACATTTGCAGACCAATTTATGCTGTAGACTGTAGTGTATGCAAAACACAATGTTTATGTGTTGAATGTAGTTTAGATATGGAAAGGGATTGTCTTTACCTGATTAGACAAATATTTTTGGGCCTGTGAAATATTTTTGACTTTGTACCAAATGAATATACAATTAATCACAAATGACACAGATTTGATCTACATGTACCTGAAGTTTCATGCATCGAGCATAAATAAAAGTATTTCTATTGAATTTTTTAATAAACTATGTAGTTGAGTAAAATTTACATTTTGTCCTCACATGAAACAAATACCCTTATTAAATGTCCTTTTTCATTGCTGCAACATATTATCAATACAAATTTCCAATATTTCTTACTCTCCAAGGATAGCATGGCACCAAAATAAGTCTGTGATACCCACAAATAGGGGTGCACCGGATTTGGAATTTTCAAATCCGGCCGGATTTGGACAAAAATTCCGGCAGGAATTCTGGCCAGATTTGAGATAAACCGGTAATGGGGACAATTGGGGATAAATTGGGATAATTCAGTATTCAAAATGTCAGTTTAGATTTTTGATTGTGTTTAAACCTTTTTTAAATATCTTTTTGTTAATAACTTAATATCTTACAATAATACCAAGTGTTTCTTAAACTTTAAAGCTGCCAAATTGATGGTTTATCCCATTCTTGGTGAATTGTTTAAGGTGACAACAGAAATTTAAATCCGGCCGGATTTTCTCCAAATCCGGCCGGATGCCGGAAAATTAGTTAAATCTGGCCGGAATTCCAGCCGGATTTGAAATCCGGTGCACCCCTACCCACAAAAGAACACTCAAATCACCATTTGCAAAATGTCTTTATTTCTACGGTTACTATATACATTCTTAGATTATCAGTACACCATTGACTTGGTTATCAGTGGCATAACCAGCCTGAAAATTTGGTCATGCTATTCAAATTTTAAATAATCATTACTCATTTCTTTAGAAATTGATTGTTTTCACAATCTAGAACATGAAAACATTTGCATATAGCATGTTGGGCTGGCGTCATCATTACTAGTTATAAAAAAGTAATATTTTCCAAGGCAGTAATGTTTGCTAAGACACATAATTGTATTATGTGGTGAAAATATTTCCTTTTTTTGCACAAAATATATATTGAACCACAAAAGACCTAAGACTGTAACCAAACTTATATCATATCACCACGTCATACCCAAATCCATGCTGCTATGAATCTCTGGACTTCTTCCTGTATAAATCTCAAGTCGCAATATAGCCATTAGGACTGTCTGCAGCAACCCAAAGATTTATCCCCCACATAGTAGGCCATCTTTCATGAACTGCATAATCCCCAACCTATTCCTTGATTTGACAGTGTGTTCGTCAACAGCAATATTCTGTGATGACTGGTACAGTTGTTGATGCAGTGTATTGCTGTAGTCTTCAGTGACAGGATCTACCATATTCAGAAACGCCATAAGCGCTTTGTACCTAAACCGAGAAATTATTTCTATTGCCCACAGACCATAAGGTTTTTACACTCCAATAGTTTTCAATCTCACTGTCGACCTTTACCAAACCTGCATATCCTAAGAAGGCAACCAATCTCTCAATCTCCTCAAGGTTGGTGGACTCCAAGACCCTTCTTTATTAGTATATGGGGATGATTTTTGAGTTATTTGTATGTGGGCATATGTATTGGTATGGGAAACTACCTCCTGAAGCATTCCCTTAGTAAAAAAGAGCCAAATGAACTCAAGCTCACAGTTCATACTTCTGGTGAAAGCTTGATCAAAATGGATCCCGGACATGTTGGTGAGGGGCAAAATCTGGGAGAATATTCCTAGTGTCAGGATCACCATATCCGTCATGTACTATGGGGCCTAGTCATGTACTATGGGACCTTGGGTCCTAGTGGCTGGGCTTCCCTCTACCTCTACTCACCCCCCCCCTACCTTCCCTCCACACTTACACGTTTTCCTAATGGGGGTTGGGGAGTGGGGTTCTCATGACTCATCAGAACTACTTCCCTGAGGCTATGAAACAGGAACAGCAGCTAGGAACAGGATCAATACCTTCCTCACTGCAAATAAAAACATTTTTATAGACATAATTTACATGGCGCCACTTGAAATTATAATAAAAGCCAAACTAGTAAGACATCAGTATGAATACTTGGTCTATTATGTATGTTACAAACAACCAAACATGTGCTCAAGGCTCATTTTACTTTGCCTAGGAATCAGAGTTTTTTATGCCTAAAACACCATAAATTTTCGTCAACAATATAAATAAATACCATTTATATTTGTCAATTTCAGTATGGAAGGATTATTTCAACACAAAAAAGTGCTTCACACTAGTGAAGCTATACTAAATGCAAATAAATTTACAACGCCATGGCAACGGCAAAACATTGAAATGGAATGTCTAAAAATGATCAAAATACTTGCCTTGAAACTCCATGGCTCCCAATGCCTGATTGAGATGCTTGTCTTCGTACAAAGACATTCCGTCATTACTAGCACTATCAGTTTGTCAAATAAGGCAAAGAGCATCTTGAGTATGCGATTCAAACAATACAATTACAACACAATACATTACAACGCTCATGCGCGATAATCAGGAAAATTGCTCTAAAAGGTTTGTTTTTCTGCCTAAGCCAATCAAAATCCGTATCTAGGGTAAAAAAAAACACTCCGGAAGTGATATATGCAGTCTTTTACCAGGAAACTGTAATGCTTTACCAAGAATTTGGTGTCCGAAGTTGGCCGAACACTTTCCGAGCATGAGAATCGCCATAATAGGCATAGATTATTTGGCAATTTCCCGAGACTGCTCCAAGCTATAGAATGCAAGATGGCGATTCTTTTAGTATATTTGTGTTTATTATATGTTGAAAAGAAGCAAAGATACAAGCATTTGAATCAGGCAGAACATTCAAAATGCAACAGCAAAATTGGTAATCCGTCATTTGCATAAATTTCACCGCATTGATCATTTCAAGATAAGAAATTTGCTTGAAATTGAGTGAGAAACAATAAAATTATACGAATATTTCGGAAAATATAGTATCGATCAAGCGGAATTTTTTGGTGGTATTTTCGTATTTCTACTGCAAATACTCCCGGAGTTCTTTAATATTTAATCTTCCCGTCATATATGTCGGAAATCAAGATTGGCGGATCAAATTGAGTTAAGAATTTGTCTGTGGGGAGAGAGTAATCTACAAAGAGAGACCACACTATTGTACATAATAGTAAGGGGGGTCTGGGGAATTTTCCCCCAGAAAATTTTTGTGTTTTTCCACCCCTAGGACTGCATTTTGTGCATTTTGTGAACAGATTTTTAGATGCACAGCGTTACATTATACTGTAGATATATTCTTATAGAATCTTCAGTTAAGTACTTCCTTCGATGTTTATGTGAATAACACAACTGTCACTAAATTGTTTCGCCGATTAGTCTAACTTTCCAGCAACTCAAATCTATAGGGTCTGGGATATGCTATCCAATGAGGCATGGGTTTAAAATCTAATGTATTCAGGACACAATGTTTAGCATTTTAAATCCATTGATCGGACCGTCTGACATTTGCCACTTACATTGTGGCATAGCCTCGTGCCCAGGCTCTTTAGACTTTAGTTTGCAACCCTAGTGTTCAAATGACATAATTTCACCATCGTTAAAATTTTTTGTCCAACCGTAAACACGCTTTTCCGATCAATCGGACCATCTGACATTTGCCAACCTACAACCTGGACAAAACATCTGCAACACTTCCAATTACTTGACAAAATGTCGTTATATTATTGTAAATTTAGAAAACCTCCCCCTTTCCCCCACCATTCCCAATTACTTGACAAAATGTCGTAATATTATCGTAAATTTAGAAAACCTCCCCCTTTCCCCCACCATTCATGTTGACTGCATTCGTAGAATACGGATAAAACATCCAACATTGTTTTGGGGGTGGAGGGGGGAAAAAGAGTAAATTATTCCGGTCTAACTGCTAAAAAAAGCCACAAAGGAATGTTTTAATAGAGTGTCGCAGATGGTTTTGTCCAGGATTGTCTGTATCTTTCAAATTCAATAACCAAGGCATTGTTGATATTTATATTTATTGATCGGAAAATAATAAGTAAAGTTACATACTTTCTGTTGTACAATATGAATAGAATCACAGTGACATTTCGAAGTGAATAAAAGTGTCCAAGCACAATAACAATAACTGAGAACTTCATGTAATCCTAATTATAGTTCAACATTACATAATGACGTAATGCTTGAATGTCAACACTCCCACTTAATGTATACTATAATTAGTGTTATAACTCTTAAAATATGAACAATTGTTCTTTGTCTTTCTTTAAACTAAGATCTCTTTAACATTCAACATGTCTCTAAACTTCTGAAAAGTTTGTCTTGGTAAACTCTTTGTCATAACATCAGCTAACATTTTATCTGTACTGCAGTAATTCACATTGATGGATTTGTCACCGACTTTTTCGCGAACAAAATGATATGCCACGTCTATGTGCTTTGTACGATTGTGGAATCGTGGATTTTTGGATAGCTCAATGGCTCCCTGATTATCTTCATTCATAATGGATGGTTGATCTTGTTTTTCTCCGATATCGTTGAGTAATCTTCTCAGCCACACGATTTCTTGTGTTGCATGACTTAGGGCCACATATTCAGCTTCTGTAGTTGATCTTGTTACACAGGGTTGTCTTTTGCTGCACCAGCTCACTGTTGATCCATTGATCTGAAAAACATATCCAGATGTTGATCTTCTCGTATCTAAGTCATTTGCCCAATCAGCATCTGAGTAACCAATTAATGAACATTTTGTGCTTTTGCCTTCAAACACCAGACCGTAGTTAACAGTATCCTTGATGTACCTCAGGACTCTTTTTGCACCGTGCCAATGTTCTTTACTGGGTTTCGACATGAACTTCGATAATATGCCAACAGCTGAGGCTAAATCTGGTCGAGTTGCCGTCGTCACATATGTTAGGCATCCTATAAGCTTTTGATACTCATTAGTATTGGTAGGATTCTCGTCATCTGGTAATTCTTGGAAATGTTTTCCAGGCTCTAGAGGAGTTGAGACAGGTTTGCATTGTTCCATGCCAAAGCGTTTTAAAATGCCTTGCAAATATGTGGATTGACTGATCGTCATCTTTCCTTTTCTCCTATCTCTTCTAATCACCATTCCAAGAACGTGTTTCACTTCACCCATATCGTCAACCTTGAACTTCAAGCCGATAAGTTTCTTTTCTTCACTTAACATGCATGAATCATTGGAGAATAACAGGATATCGTCAACGTGAATCGATAGAATGACAAATTTGATAACTCCATTTTGATCTCTGATAGACTTCATTATACAAACATGGATCAGACTCCATTTGCTTGTATCCACTTGACTTTAGGAATGTGTCAATAGCATTGTTCCAGCATCTTGCGGATTGTTTTAACCCATATATGCTCTTCTTAAGTTTGCAGACATGATTTGGAAGTTCTTTGTTAACATAACCGTCCGGTTGTCGCATATATATTTCTTCTTCTAGGTTTCCTTGTAAAAAGGCTGTTTTGACATCCATTTGGTGGACTTCCCAATTCTTAGCATTTGACAGGGCGAGTAATGATCGAATCGTTGTATTCCGTACCACAGGTGAAAATACTTCAGAGTAGTCGACTCCTTCGGCTTGGGTGTAGCCTTGGGCCACTAGTCGAGCTTTATATCTTTGTACACAGCCGTTTTCATCTGTCTTCACCTTAAAAACCCATTTGCTGCCGACAACGTTCTTGCCTTTGGGTAATGAAACAAGTTCCCAGGTTTCGTTTTCAATAAGCGAATTATTCTCTGAGTCAGTAGCTTGTTTCCATTCTGCTGAATGTTCTCCAGAAAAGGCTTCATCCATATTAATTGGCTCGTTAATATCTGCTGTTATATCGTTCGCTAAGTAGCATTCCTCATCAAATCTATTGGGTGGTGTTCTCATTCTGTGTTCACCAACGTTACGAACTTCATTCATAAACGTCTCTTCAAAGGTTCCTCCCACTGGCTGGTCATTGGCTTGCTGGTTTCCTTCAGCATTCTCTGCAACTCTTTGATTAGCAATTTCATCTTGATTTTCATTTCCGTCAACAGGAGTTTCTTCGATCATTATCGGAATATCATCCTCTGCGCGATCATCAAAATTTGATGAAGTTTGAATATCAAAGTCATGAAATTTCTTCTCCAGAAATATGACATCACGACTGCGAAGGAATTTACGAGAAACAGGATCATATAACTTATATCCTTTCACACCTTCTGGATACCCCATGAAAATTGACTTTCTAGATTTTGCGTCCAGTTTCTTTCTTTGATTGTCAGGGATATGCATGTATGTAATACATCCGAATACGCGTAAATTGGACACATCAGGTTTCTTTTCAAACAAGCATTCGTACGGAGTGATATCATTTAAAGCTTTCGTTGGGCTGCGATTTCGCACGTAAACTGAGGTATTGACTGCTTCAGCCCAGAATTCGTTTGGAATATGTGCATGGGACAACATGGATCGGGTTGTTTCTACGACCGTTCGGTTCATTCTTTCCGCTACACCATTCTGCGCTGGGTTGTATGGTACACTTAATTGATGAACGATACCATTCTTCTTCAGGAAAGATTCGAATTCTTTCGATGAATACTCTCCTCCGTTATCAGAATGTAGAACCTTGATTGGCTTTCCAGTGATATTCATAGCATAGGTGTGGAACTCTTTGAACTTTTCCAAGACTTCGCTCTTGTTCTTCATGAAATATACAAATATATAGCGCGAGTAGTCGTCGATGAAGCTTACATAATATCTTGATCCACCAAGAGAAGGTACAGACATTGGACCACAGACGTCGCTATGGACAAGTTCGAATGGTTCACTAGCACGATAATCAGCAGTCTTCGGATAAGGACAGCGATGATGCTTCCCCTTGATACATGCTTCACCACTTACCATATTTTCGTTAATAAGTTTGTTCACATTGTTCATTCCCAGATGGCCAAGTCTACAGTGCCACAAATACCGATCTGTATCAGGTTGTTGTTTGGCAATGTTCACATGCTCTTTCACAATATTCAAGACATATAACTTTCCTTGGATCTCTCCCACAGCTAAAATCTTCAAATTCCGAGAAATTTCACACTTGTTTTCTTTGAAAGTAACAGTTGCATCACGTTTCACCATTGCATGGACTGACAGCAAGTTCTTATCTAACTCTGGCAGGTACAATACTTCTTGCAATGCTACGTGTTGAATTCGGTCATTCACAACAGCTTTCACATGATAGGTTCCCTTTCCATACGCAAGGATTGATCTATTATCACCGAGGTTCACACTACATGGTCTCTTGAATTCCACATAGTTGGACAGACGATTTCTTTCGAAAGTCATGTGTTGAGTCGCACCCGAGTCAATAATCCATCCACATCTATTTTCATCATCAGAAGTATATAATGCTTCTTCATCAGTATTATTTTGCTCACTCTTCTCTTGAGCACAACAAGCAGATCCTTTACCTTTACTTTGATTACCATCTCTTTGTGAATTGTTAATTCGTTTAGGACAGTCTCGAGCAAAGTGTCCTTTCTCTTTACAGTAATGACAGGTTCCTTGGAATTTCCGACCAAATTTAACTTCATTCCTCTTGTCATTTCGCTCTTTCGACTCGTATCTTCTTCTATTGTTCCATCGTTGAGCAGAATATGCATCTTCCATTTTCTTCGAATCAGTAATTCTGTCAGCATCATTTAACAACATGGCTTTCACCTTTTCAAAAGTGATTTTCTCCTCTCCAACAGCATCTAACGCGGTAATGAGTGGCTTAAATTCATCCGGTAAACTCGCGAGCAAGGTCATAGCTAGTTCTCCGTCATCAATATTTGCACCCATTTCCTTTAGTTGGTCATGAAGGGACTTCACATGATTTATGTGCTCTAGCATATTTCCACCTTTTTGAAATTTACTTGAATAATACTTTTGGCGTAATCTTACAATCTGAGATATCGAAGTTCTAGCAAACTGACTCTTCAGGGCATCCCAAGCCTCTTTTGCTGTGTTCGTGTTCCTTACATGAATTTGTTGATCAGTCTCTACAGCCAAACAAATATACGTCCAGGCCTTTTTCGAAGCAGACTTAAATTGTTGCTTTACCTGTTCAGACGCGTCTTCAGCGGGAACTTCAACAGAACCATCAGCATGCCCAAATAAATCTAGGCTCTCGAGATATAGGCGCATGTTAAATGTCCAGTCACGATAGTTTGCTCCATTTAGCTTCGGAATTTTAAAATCTGTCGTTAACGCCATTTTCGCCATTTTGAATGCGTTCAAGTTAATCCGTCTTCAAATAGATACATCACAATATTTTAATCGCTTCAGGCACATTGTGAAATGTCCTGGGCCCATAACCTGTTGATATTTATATTTATTGATCGGAAAATAATAAGTAAAGTTACATAATTTCTGTTGTACAATATGAATAGAATCACAGTCACATTTCGAAGTGAATAAAAGTGTCCAAGCACAATAACAATAACTGAGAACTTCATGTAATCCTAATTATAGTTCAACATTACATAATGACGTAATGCTTGAATGTCAACAGGCATTGCGCACTAAAAATGGAGTTTTACGCAGGAATTTCTCTTTCCGTAGTAAATATGGCTCACTATAATGTATTAGGCTTCAAGAAGCAAATACCACATGGTCGACAAGGTAATATAACACCCTCATTCAACGCTATGCTTCCATAGCTTGTATAGAATGCGATTAAGAATCGTATGCGACGACTTTCACGCATTTAATATACGTCGGAGAGCAAGTCAATGTACTTAGTAGTGTATATACCAACTTTATTGCACTAGAAATATTCTAAAATACGTTAATTTATATTTATTTGTGTTGTTAGACAGACAAACGCTTAGGTGTTGGCTGGAAATATATTGTGTGACCGCCGCGTTAAATTACTAATCCGATTTTGTTATTGTCGTATAATAGTGCATGCGCATTGACGGTGTACCACGGTACAGCGTGAACATATAAGAATATATATATATATATAACCTTTTGTAGGGTTAAAATGGTACACTGTGGAATATTTTAAAATTATTGTGCTAAATACTGTCCGAAGTCGGTTGGAATACCAAGCAACGCACATTCTTTCAAGTCCATTTCATTGGTTTGTATTATTCCCTATGACTGGGGATATTATCACAGTCTTAGTGCATTGGTTGTGGTACACTGTTAGATATGACACTGTGAAAAAATTAGCATTGATTTACCACACCCGGAAAACTTGTGTCAAAATGCACAATTCACATTTATATAGTTGTCACTTAATGTTCTAAATATAATTATGCAGTAAATACCAGAAACGTAACTATATTGAGTTTATGGTCCCTTAAGTTCTACTGGATATCACACGCATTCGTTTATGTATAGACTGAATGTATAACCTATCAATATATAAGTCGCACAAACTCTTATGGAAATATTTTTTTGTGTCGTACATTGTATCTCATGCACTGATCGCTTGCATGTCTGTCTAGGCACCTAATCACATGGTCGATTAGGTTGTCTATATTGTGTCTTGCAGGTCTTATGCATATACAGATAACAAATATGACTCATATATATATTGCTTAATTTCTGAATGATTGCAATGATATCGACTAGAATGCGATAGTTTTACTTTCTCAATTATTTCTGCAACATTTCATTGCTTTTAATTGCTAAAAAATAATATATTGTATGTGATTTTCTCCGCAAAATGTTTCTACCACATATTAGTACCCTTTCAAAACACTAAGGTATTGATTAGGTATTTAATTAATGAAATAAGGTACTTGATGTAATTATGAACATAAGTAGCTCATAAGCAATTCACATAAACGAAATACATGGCAAGGACATGCATAAAAAGCGAAATTTAAAAGAATATAATTTTCGACTCATTTGAGACAATCCTGGACAAAACATCTGCGACACTTCCAATTACTTGACAAAATGTTGTAATATTATCGTAAATTTAGAAAACCTCCCCCTTTCCCCCACCATTCAATGTTGATTGCATTCGTAGAATACGGATAAAACGTCCAACATTGTTTTGGGGGTGGAGGGGGGCAAAAGAGTAAATTATTCCGGTCTAACTGGTAAAAAAAAGCCACAAAGGAATGTTTTAATACAGTGTCGCAGATGGTTTTGTCCAGGATTGTAGCTTTGAAAATAACATTTCAAACAGCTTGTCCGATGGATCCGATTGATTGTGGCATTAGTGTCTCGAATTAAGTGAACTACTCGATTACGTGCAGTTCTATAATATTGCCAAGACAGGGGAGTGTTCGTGGAGATAGCACAGTGGTATAAATAATTTCGTTTTTTAATTGCCTCACTTATTTCACAGGAAAACCATTCAGGTTGACTCTTTTGACACGCTTTTTTTTAATGGTGCGTGATTATTGAGACAATCATTAAACAAAGAGTACCAGTGCTCAACAGCCTCATTGATATCAATGAACATATCTAAAGTAATCCATGGTATGTTTTTTAAATCAGCTACAAATTGCTCTGCAGAAAAATTCTTTAGTGATCGGTAATCAATGTACTTATGTTTGTTTGAATTTGAGAAGTTACTTCGTGTAGTCCAATTAACAAAGACTGGTAAATGATCACTCATAAGGTTCCAGATGTGGAGAAATTATCCTTATGAGAAACGTAAACAAGGTCAAGCAAAGATCTTGAGACAGGTTTGGTTGGTACGGTAATAAGCTGAACGAGAATAAATGTAGCAAGTAAATTTTTAAAGCGTGTGTTACATGTATCAGATAACAAGTCAAAATTGAAGTTTCCAAGAATTATTGTTGGGTTACCGTCAGCATCCGTTTTAGATATCATAGAGTCTAATGTATCCTGGCGTCTTTTGAAAATTAAATGCTCTGGGATGTATATCAGAAGGCCACCACCTAAAACACGAACAAGGTAACCAAATGAGACCAAATTAACACGCGAAAGTTATAACACTGTTGGCAGAATACCTAGCAAGTCACACACAAATACAGCCAAAGATAACGAGCAACATCCGAAAGTTCAGCTTCGCAGCATGTGACGCAACAATAATGTACACAATATGATCCAAAATAACTTTACACCACAATATAAATCCAATTCCAAAATACGATAAATAGATCCACGAGGTCTTTAGCTTTAATTTAATAGAATATGTGGTTAAAAAATACTTATTTATGCTTGAAATAAAGTGGAGGTCTCTAGATAATTATTTCACTAGATAATTATTTCTCTTGAAACGTAAAGTAATTATTAATTATAGAGTGGAGGTCTCTAGATAATTATTTCACTAGATAATTATTTCTCGTAACGTAAAGTACCTAAATGCTTCTCTTAGGTCATGCTTGGAAGTCACCTATATTAAAGTTTGTAAATTGCCTTGTTTCTACAACCCTCGGTTCCTGTTTACGAATTCCTATTTTTCTACAAATATATGCCAAGTTACGGTCGCTTATACCCAATTCCATTACACCTGATCAAATAGTTTTAGTATCATCAATTTTCGTGATTATAATGTCTATCAATGTCCTAATAGTAGTTCTGGTTGGCATGTTAATATGTTGTCGTAATTGATAAATGTCTATTAGGTCCAGAAGTGTCCTAGCATTAACATTATTATTACTTTCGTTATTCAACAAATTGCAGTTGAAATCACCTGTTATGACTACCTCTTTATTTTAATTGTCAATATTTTTAAGGAAAGTTTCGAAATCATTAAAAAATTGTGGTTTTGATCCTGGAGGGCGGTACCAAGTGGAAACTAGTAATGGTTTGCTTTTTGGCTTTCTTATTTTGAGACAAATTGCCTCAGCAGTATCTGGAGACAATTCAGTCCTATTTATGTATGGAATAACACTCCTCACATAAATAGCTACTCCTCCTTCATTCCGATTTCTGTCCTTTCTTATCAAGTCACAACCAGCTATTTCAACTTCAGAATTATATGTAGAGCTATCAAGTCTTGTTTCATTAATACAAAGAACGTCAAAAGGTTGCAAAGATATAAATATAGACAATTCATCTTTATGTTTCATTAAGCTAGCAATATTTAAATGTACAATCTTGAAGCCCTTAAGCTTGGGATGAGTCACTTCACATTCATTTAGGCTATTAATTAATTTTGGGGTTGTAGAGTATTCATTACTGTTACCTATTATGGGACTTTCATAAGGAGACAGTCAATAATTAATTTTTAAAGTGTCAATAACATTTTTTGCAAGAGTTGCAGTTCCCTGTTTGTTGAGGTGAACCCCATATGGATTTAAGTGCTTTCCAAGGATATTTTTATGAGATATATGACCCCAATTGTTATTGGTGCATACCTGTGACAGCTTCGTATTGACTTGTTTGACTTTTGTATTAATTTGTTGGTTGTCGTTCCTTGTTATCAATTCTGAGATGATTAGCTTTGTTGTTGGGAATTTCTTGTTGATCTCTTGTCCAAGGTTAGCCATTGACGTTGATATTTGATGTGGGGAACTTTGTTTTATTAAATCATTCGTTCCGACATGCATGATCAAATAATCAGGGGCATAGGTGAGCATTGGCTTAACATAGTGATGCATATCTGCCACTTTTGCTCCAGGGAAAGTTTTAACATTGACGTTTCACTTGAGACATTTTCGAAGCTTTGCAGGATTGACATATTTAAGCATTGAATCTCCAACAATAGCTACATCAACGTGACGATCCAGTTTCGGGTGCTGGCTATCTAATTCATCATTGTTGTCTTGTTCTTGGTTAGGTTTGGTTTCACTTTGTTGTTCTGCGGTATTTTCTTTACTGCTATGTCTTGAGTAACTAATTGCCGCGTTTCAGTGACAATTGTATTTTCAGTATATTGGTCTTCTCCATAATTTGAACTGTTCATTCCGCTGTTATCGTTATTAGGTAATTCATTAAAGAGTACTTCGTAGCGATTGTGTTACGATTGTGCTTCATAGCGATTGTGTTACGATTCATTACCAAGTACTTCGTAGCGATGTACATTTTGTGATATGGTGCAAGCATACTGCAGAAGGTCCAGCCACCGGAAATTTATTTACAGGTATACAAATAAGCAATATTCAATTCAATTCAATTTTGTTTCACATGTTTACAAAAGATATAGTTAGACATTAATTACATCACAAAAAAATCATAATGGAAGGGGGAAAAAAGGGAGTTAATTATGGTATTATATCGTGTACAGTGGCCAAAGTAGCTGAGAAGCTTTTGAGTTGGCCACCATTTACAAAATTGTTGTTTTGTGACTGTTTACATAATTGAGAAAAAAGAACATGACGTGTTTGGTGTGGCTGGATCAGTGTCTGGATTCTACGTTTGGCTTAGGATAAGTTTTCTTGTATATTTAGATTTAAATATTCTAACCGAAGTCGACTGCTTAATATGTAGGTCTATCGTTTCCCAAATATTGGATGACGAAAAAAGAAAAGTGTGTTTGCTGTAATTTGTGCGCGCTTTTGGTCTGCTAAAGTTTTGATTTGCCGCAAATCTTGTATTATATGAGTGACAGGTAGATGCGATGGATATGGAGTTTGCAAAAACTGACGGTATTAAGTTGTTAAGGATTTTATATGTAAAAATTGCAATTTTCAATTTAAAAACATTGTCAACATTGAGTATTCCCAATAGATTGAGGTAGGTACTGGCATCTTCTCTTTTATGCGCAAAGAAAATGTTTCGTACACATTTATTTTGAGCAATGCGAATTTTGGATAGATGGGTAGTATAGGTGTTTCCCCAGCTCATTATTCCGTAGTTAAGATATGGATAGATTAGGGAATAGTAGAGTTGTTTCAACATCTGTAGGTTCACATAATATCGTAATTTATTAAGGATGCCAGTGTTTTTAGATATTTTGCTTTTTATGTGGTTTATTTGCTGGCCCCACTTAAGGTGTTTATCAATATAGACGCCCAGGTATTTGATGTAGTCTTTTTGTTCAATCTCATGAATTCTGACATTTGATATTTGTTTTTTATGTGAACTAATGATCATGTAATTAGTTTTTTTAAAGTTAATAGCTAGTTTATTAGCTGAACAATAGTCAAGGATTTGAATAAATTCTTCGTTCATTTTTGTTACACTTGAACATTGTCACTGGAGTAGAAGACATTAGTATCGTCAGCAAAAAGTCTAAATGAGAGTTTCGTAGAACAGTTTGGCATGTCATTAATATAAATCAGAAATAATAATGGAGCAAGCGTTGATCCTTGAGGTAAACCGCACGTTAAGGTTAGCATGTCAGAATCGGTGTTATCTATATGTACATACTGTTTTCAGTTGCTTAGGAAATCTCTAAACCAGGCTAGCGGGCCTCCACGAATTCCGTATTTGTTTAGTTTATCGAGTAAAATTTTATGGTTGACAGTGTCGAATGCTTTGGATAAGTCCAGAAATAACCCGCAAGTAATTTTTTTTCCGTCTATTTTGTTTTTTAAGTAATCAGATATTTCGAGAATTGCTTGCTCCGTTGAGTGACCTTTACGAAAGCCAAATTGGTGACTAAAGAGCAAAGAATGTTTTTCAAGAAATGATTCTAACTGTTTATGGACTAATTTTTCCAGTACTTTTGCAAAGGGAGAGAGTATAGAGATAGGACGGTAGTTTGTGGGATCAGTAGTTACTCCGCTTTTATAGATTGGTGTAACTCTTGCGATTTTTAATATGTCAGGTACAATGCCCTCTGAGATAGATTCATTGTATAAGTTCGTGATAATTGGGGCAATGATAAAAGCGCTGATTTTTATCATTTGATTAGGTATATGGATAGAGGCTTTATTAGGGTCAAGAGAAGAGAGTAGGTCATAAACTTGTGTTTCAATAACGTAAGACATTGCAAAACTAGATTCCGGGGGAGTATTAATATATTCTAGTGGATTTCTGTTTGCAGTATTGGGGATTGAGTTAGCTAGCAGCAGTGAGTTTTAAAAGAAAATTATTGTTCAGAATGGAACGCAAGTTCGGCAAAAGAACTAAGCAGTGGTCTGCTTGTCAAAGTGCTGGAACCTAAAACATACAACTACATTCCAAATCTGATGGAAAATATATTTAGAAAGAGGGCCAGTACCAAAGGTGGTGTCAACAGGAAAATTGCTGTGCTGGAAGAGGGTCCAAGACGAATCGCGCCAAACATCTCTGCCATCCCTCCTCCCTCAGTAGGATCACTTTTGGAGGCTCACAAATCGCGGTTTTAATAATCTGTTATAATTTCCTCTGCCAGGAGGTTATATTTTTTCCCCTGTATATGTTGTGTGGAAACAACAAAATCAATATAAAATATTTGAAGCACACAGTCGACACGGAAGAATTTATTATGCTGGCCTCAAAATGACATGTCATCGCTAGCGGATCCCGACCATACAAAGTCATCCCGAGGGCACAGCGAAATAGAAGATGGTGGACAGCAATGAGTGTCATTTTAATACAGATGTAGATTGAAAAGGTTGTAGGCTGAAAATCAAGCCTCATGTATGTAATTGTTGGATTATATCGCTGTTTTTTATGTATGGAAAAATCTTTTTCCACGGTCCCATACTTTAATAATTTTTCATTGTTTTGAAACTCTATTAAACGGTCAGTGGAAAGTATTTTAACTACAGCAAACATAATACAATATATAATTAAATCTTTATTTGGCAACATGTCAAAGTCTTTAAGTTTTGTTTCTCATTACTCGAACTTCTGTAATCAATGAAAGTGTCAACAGTATTTTCAGTTCATGCGGATGTACTATTCAAGCAATTTAAGCTGTGTGGTGATTTTCTACAAGACCTGTGTTAAGTGGTCAACCTGTATTATTAAAGTGGTCACTTGCAAAATCCCTGAGGGTTCAACTGTAATATTTAATATTTATTATATAAATCTGTTTGAGTTATAAATACATACAACAAATATTACATAATCATGAGCTTTGATCTTTATTCCATTCTGAGTATAAAAATATTCCAAACACAGTCACTTGTTATAATAAACATCAAGACTATCCGATTACCTAAATATACATGAACTTGCGGTTGCAGCTCAACAGCTGGCCACTGTAGCTCAGTTGGTTAGAGCACATGTTCTCAAAGAAAGATATGTAAAGAAATGTGGAAAAGACATTTATGGATCAGAATTGTACACGTTAGTAGTTTCATTTTGCTCAGAACACAATATTTTTTCAAAAATAATTACAAGATAGGTTTACTAAAGCAAAATCCACGCTAAAAACGTCAATAAATATCGGGCTGTTGTGATTTTGCTGTTACTCGTAATGAGCATCAAGATGGCACCATATTGGGGTAAAGGTGGTATTTTGTGATTGTCATATCTTCTTAACGAGTTCGGTGACCCAGACTTTTTTGTGCAATTTTACTTTAAGTATATCATAAACTCCATGCCTGGGAAGTTTCAGCACATTCTCATTTTGGGAACAATTACTGCGGAATTACCTTAAAACTAAAATTAACACAATAGAGATGCAATTTTACATCAAGTAGAGAATATTTTTATAGGCTGAAAAAGCAAAACAAAATAATTTTATGAAGGAAAACAGTTTAATTTAATGTAACATTGATATTTTTCAGCAATTGTTTGACTGTGATAACTAAGCACTTGCATGTGATATTATCTTGGCCTGTCCAAAACTAATATAAATTAATTTTAAGAACATTGCAATTTGCACAAGAATGCAGAGCAAAATCGAGTGAATACATGTTATTTTCACTCCCTTCTAATGCCCTCCCCCCCCCCCCTTATCACCAGATATTTCAAGAAATTTGAACATTATTGAGACTTGGCATCTTTGATACTTTGGACAATTCTAGCATATTTCAGTCATAATGTGATTCATAGCATATTTAAAGGTGCAAACCAATGAGGATATTAATAGTTTGGCAACAATTTTGCCCACTAATTATAAAACCAATACTTATTTGCTAAGAACAAAGTGATAAAGTGCATGCAAAAGGAACAATGTCAGCAAGCAGTCCAATGGTAACAAAACATACTTTCATTCATATTTGTCTGAGTGTATTTTTTGGAGGGGCCTGTACCAGGTTCCAAAATCCCGACTGATTTTCACTTCAAATCCAGTTATCCCGCCATGCCTCACCCCAATTTCCCACTCCCGACTTTTTTCTAACACTGTTCAACGTATTATGATTTGAATAACATGGTGGTAACGACATAAAACACAATTTGAATAGATTAGAATACAATACAACAAAGTTTAAAATAATAAGTGACTCTGAATCGCAACTCTTATTAAAGCAGCAATCATATGCATGTCAATGGGGGACAAATGTTCGACATCATCCTGGAAAACAGTAAATTTCGAGCACACAAACAAATGACAACAGATCAGCTAACGTACGGCTACAAGTTTTCTTGTTTCATCCTGCTAATCGTGGGTTACTTCTCGCATATCACCATGGTATTTCTATTAATCCCGCTTCCCAACAATATTTCTTTTAAAATCCCACTTCAATTTTAGACACATCCTGCAAAACCGGTACAGGCCCCTCTTTTTATGCCAAGTATCAAATAACATTTCTTCTTTTTTTTATTGCTAGCATATAAAAAACAGTGTTAGGTATATATGATCACTAGACTTTTTGCCAGGGTGATAAAACTGGCCTCTGAAAAATACCATGGGTATGACAAGATAAAGTAAACAGCAGCTGACAATTTTGAGACATTAGAAAAAATACTACAAAGCTTGCAAGTTGCTGTTCAAAGAAAGCATTTTCTTAGGCCGTCTATTCAAAAGTGGTTGTCCAAAGGACAATTGGATGGCCACCTGACTAAATGCCTGCTTGTGACACTTTTTTTATGTATCTGTCTTACAACACTTTTATATTTTCCACATCTTACCACAGGTTTGACATTTGATGGCAATATCTGGAAGTGCTTGTTTCGAAGACATTGCTTGAGGTGGTATCTCATCACTGTGGTGTCATAGGTTGCTTGGCAAGGATCTTGTCCATGTAAAAATGAGGCTGTGAATGCGACAGCAAAAATACCACAATCAGATCCATTGGTTTGCTGCTGGACTGGCATAATGTTGACTTTAATTTCATCAGCATACAAAGATCTTATTTGCCTCTTTACACTTGGAGTTATACTGATAAAGACTATCATAATAGTTTAACTGACCAGCACAGCATCCAATATTACTGACCATGACCCAGTGATTGCTGCTTGAATGAAGTATTTGAATAAACTTGTCAGTTGGTTTGTTAATGTTTCACCCAGTGCTGTATCCTGAAGTCCTTGCATCCTGAAGTCCTTGCATCATAGGAAATTGATTATGTAAGGTCATATTCACTGGACTTATTATTGAAGCAGTTAGGCATCCATTGCTATGTTCTATGATGTTGTAATTGTTTTCTTGGAGGACTATCATTCTTATTTTAACAACAGGCCGGTTACTTTTTGTCACCATTGTTATTACGGGTTCTTCACTGTCAGCTGTTTTCTCATTATTCAACATTTCACTTGTATGCTTTGATGTCCTCATTGAATCCTCATCTAAACAATGGCCAACTGAAGCTTTGGATTGGTGAGCTAAGGAAATATCATTTGGAACAACTGGCTTCTTTTTGCCTCCCCATGCGTGTGGCTTAGTCTCCTATTTCTTTTTTGGGTGTGGTCCTGCCCTTGTAGCAACAAGTTAACATACATATGTTTCTTCATTTGATCAGCTTTTGTTCCAACTCTTCCAGAGTATGGGTGATTTTTCTTTAATGGTTTTGGTATTTGTTTGTATACCTTCTTGTTTTCTTTATCATCATTGGAATTTCTCAATAGTTTTATTTTCTTGCTTTTCACTTTTTTTGTTTGCTTTATTTGGGAGTTTGGCTCCATAGTAAGTCCATTTGATGTCGGTGCAAAATTCTGAAGAGTCTTAAGACATGATTGAAGTGTATTATTGAGATCTGTAAGAATTTGTTGGTCATTAATAATGTATGTAAGTTTTTTTATTTCGTGTAATGTGTCCCTGCACTTTGCTGATATAGCTTTTGCATGTTTTTTTTGCAGCAGCAATGTAATGTCTTGTATTTATCTTGTGTTTTTGTGGATGTTTCTGCTTCCGACTGCATCTTTGTACAGGTATCTTCTTTTTCATTTTCATCTTTGTTTGGAAACATTAAATCATCTGACTGACATTGTGAGCTTGATGGTATGTTACCACCAAACATGAAATTTTTGTCAAGTGTCAAGAAAGGTGACTCTGTGTAAAATGCTGGCAGTTGACTGCAACTCCAACCAGAAATATGTGTAAAAATTGCAAGAGGAAGTGCTTGTATGGTAAGTGATTTCTTTCCCAGTCATAACACTCACAAGATCGTGAGGAATTTGCAGTCTCATTGCCAAAATGAAGATTGTACCAATATTAGCAGTATTTGAATTGGCTAATTGCAAAATACATAGTTATACAGTACTACAAAGGTAAATTGCTATACCTCAAGAAACATGAACCATATATTTACAACTACAAAAACACTTTAAGTATTAAAATACTGTGTCACCATAGTCTTTCAAGACATGGTCTAGAAACTCGGTAAACTTCAAAGCGGTTTTAATGAGCTGAGATTTTATGTTGAGCCGTACCTTACACAGTGCACATCCTTTGTTTTAGGTTTATTAATATTTAAATAGTATGGTTGAATGGCTGAACAGAAATGTTGCTATTGGATGATCCGTTCATTATACTGAAATACAATGTGTTCATTGACTGTGCAGTGTACACAAAACTGCATAAACGCAAACAAGATAGAACAAAGACTTTAGCGGAGTTTCCAAACCATGTTTTGAAAGACTATGGTGTCATAGATTGTCAGTTCCTCATGTTTGGTACTTGTTCACAACATAACACTTCTTTGTCCAGATAAACTTTGCTGAACAAAAAAAATCAGATAAAAATTCCTTTCCACAATCAACACAAACTTGGTCCCATAAACCATACCTGTGAAATAATGGGCCTAAACAGTGAAGATATACAAATAAAGAATCTTGTCTTAATTGAAAAATGCTACTGCAGTTAATGGATTCAAACAAGCTTGTTCTATAATTAAACCATTAAGGTGTAATAGTTTACCCTTCACAATTTTAATTGTATGGTGTGAGATGCACAAGCTTTATAAGGCTCATTACTCGCTGGGGCATCTGTGCCCCAGACGAGTATAGGTTTCGGCACACAGATTTCCGATCGTCGTTGATAGCCACAAAATAGAATATTAATGAGCTGTCTAATTTTCCCCCCAATTATCCATAAGACTCCTGCCAATTTTACCCAAATTATCCATAAATAACCCTGCATTTTGAGGAAAAATCGTGAAAATTGAACAATTTTACAAGGAATTTCGCACGGAAACAGCAACCTTTGCAAATCGCAAGTTTATACGTTTGGGTGCAATGCTTAAATATATTTTGAGAAGAAAGCGACACCGTTCGATTCAGCATAAGAAATTGTACTCACAGATGATGTCAAATGTATTACTAAACAGCAGTATTCTAGGGATTTCCAGCCTTTTAAAAGCAAGTGAAATTGGTCAAATTGTATTGTTGACAAATCACTTGCAGTACGTATTGTTAACAAATCACTTGCACTACGTTTGTCCTTGTATGTGTAATGCCTCATGGCGCAATATAAACGATAAAAATATCACTGTTCGATTCAGGGTAAGAAATTGTACTAATTACGGATGTCAAATGTATTACTAAACAACAGTATTCTAGCAATTTATGGCTTTGTCTTTGAAAGCCAAGCAAAATTGTATTGTTGATATACAGTGTGTATCAAAATAATTCGAATCCAAATTTGACAGACTGCTGTTTATAAAATACTAAAGTAAACGATATCATTTGTATATGGCAATAAAGAATAGCCTATTAGGTTTCCGATTATATCGTTATTATATCAATAGGACCAAAAATGACCAAGAAATCGTGTGTTAAAACTGGTTGCTCGAAATCAAATTTTTCCGCCGATGGGAATTCGAAGTGAGACGTACAGATAGTGCAAATTTAATTAATCAACAAACTGTTATGTAGCAAAATTTACATAAATTCGTGTTCATTTAAAGAGATTTAAGCTCCTATGCCTTCAACATGTTGAACAAGAAGAAATATGCGTTAAATTTACATTTTAGTTTTCAGTGATGATTCGCATTTCAAAGCCTTGTGGGACTAACTTTGAAAGAAAAAATGTCCAATTCCCATCGGCGGAAAATTGTGATTTTTATGGACTTTTTTTGTCAAAGCAATACTCCTTCATTTTCCAACTAAATGACGCGTACAACATGTCATTTGAAAAGTAAATAAATGAACTTAACAATGGTGTAAAAACCAACCGAATTTGTCAAATATATTCTGCATTATTACACGCCAAATTTGGATTCGAATTATTTTGATACACACTGTATAGGTCTTCTCTTTTTACCAGTGGATTCGTCTTGCTTCTCTCTTCATTTTGATAGTATTTTGAGCCTAAAAGCCCCAAAATATTTTATTTTGAACGTTTTAAAGCACAGTTTAATCCTAGCGTACGGACCAACTGGCGTGACCATGGCTGACCATGGCTTCCATTTTGAAGGAAAAGCGTACGGACCAACTGGCGTGACCATGGCTGACCATGGCTTCCATTTTGAAGGAAATTTTCCTTTTTGAAGGAAATTTTAATTGAAGGAAATGTGGAGATAAGGAAATTCGAATTTGAAGGAAATTTCGGAAGATTGAAGGAAATGTGGAGGAAATTGCCTTATTTCTAAAAAATCCTAAGAATACAGCAATTTCCAAGGAAATGTGCTTGAAAATGTGCTGCAGCGCAATCCTCTCCTGCGAGTTGTAAAATCTGAAAATTTTCTGCGGGAGGCCCCCCAGACCCCCTGCTTATTCTCCTTCGTGTTAATCTATGTAAACTCTTTGTCTCTTCCCCTTTGATAATTCAGCCCCTATAACGTCTATGTTCCTTCTAGAACAAGAAATACCCTGTTATTTGAGATAAATTACTATAAAATCAGTTTTAAATTAGTTAAAATTCAATAATTTTTATTGCAAGGAAATTTTTCCAAAAATAAGGAAATTTTCAAGGTTTTGAAGGAAATTATATTTTTTGAAACTGGAAGCACTGCAGCTGACAGTCTTGAAGAATGTAGCATACTAAAACAACTTTACTTGTAGGGCCTACCGCATTTTAGTACTGTTTTAAGCCTTTTGCACTTGTATTCAACTTTGCTTAGTAATGTGCGTATTTGTATGGCTTGTATAGCCCCAGATATTTAATGCTCTGCAGAGCGTCTTGTTGTACAAGAATTTGTCAACTGTCAATACTTTTCATTTTGGTCAAGATGAAGCTTGCACCCAAAGTAGTCAACATTGTATGGCACTGGGATCAACAACTTTGTAGTGTTTTACTTTGTTGGTAATACTCTGGTGCAACTCTTTGAACCACATAGTGATACAAAAGATCTTAAATGAAGTATATATAGCATGTTTTATAGGTAGAATTGCGAACACAATACATTCCCCCAAAAACTCAATTATCAAATATGACGATTTAGAACAGGCTTCATTTAGAGCACAATGGGCGTAATTTCACAGACCGCGAACAGAGGGCCCCCCGATAATTTTCCATACACATGTGATTTTCCCTGAGCTGACGGCGCGAAGCGCCGCTCGAGGGTACTAATTCCCCCCCGGCTATTTACACCCGGGAAACGAAAGCATTAGCTAAGTCTAAAGTTCATCAATCATCGCAGGCATGGGTGACCAATGGTGTTCGAGTGTTGGGTGTGTGGTCATCCTCACTGATCTCGAAAATATAGCGGACTGTCATGAATAGTGGATGCTGATTGGTCCAATTTAAAGTTTGCATTATAACGACTGCATGACGACAGCGAAATAGCAAACATTTCTTAATTTGATGATTGATAAATTTCTTGCAAACATATTTCATAGTTGCTCGCATTTTTGCAAGATTTTTTAAATTTCAAAAGCTCTCTCAGAAAGAAACTGCGAAAGAATCGGCTAAAAGAAGGGAGCTGACGTTAACAGAAGTTTGTTTTAAATATTGATTTTATAATGCCTTTAAAACCCAACGACCTTTGCGTATATGAAACAACTAAACAAGACAGCATATAATTTCAGTGTATCTTTATTATTGATTCCCTTTAATATTATAGTGAATTTTTTAAATAATTGTTTGCATGCGAGAATTTGAAATCATTTTATTGCAAGCTCAAAGTTTATCGATAAAGCCATTTAATTAAAGGCAGTTTAGTTTTATAAAGATAACACTTTAAAAACGTTTTGCGAAGCGTTTGAGGTTGAATTTTACCTTAAATTGAAGCTTATATTATGTATAATAACATATCTAACATATACTATGTTGCAAAATTGATAATTTTGTAATTAAAAGTGATATTTTTAGGCGATTTTTCATTTGTAAGAATATTCTTATAAAATTATCGTGTTACCATCACAACTACTGTAGATACTTCATGTTCGGAAAATACAATGGTTTTGTCAGCAAGGCGAGTGTTTCTGCATGCATGTATTTTCTAGTTATAAACTAAGAATACTGAAATCTTTCAGATCAGTTAACAATATATTTATAACTTATATAGCCAAGTATTCGATCTACTTCTGGCTGAATTAAACAAATGACGGGTAATATTAGATTGAGAGTTGTCTATTAAGAAATTTTTTAACTGCAACTACTAAATTTGATTGCATTTCCGGGGCACTGGGAGGTCTCAGATTTCAAAATTTCATTCGTCAGTGGGTTGAAATGACCTTACACCCACCCTGAAGAATTCCCTGAGGACAGCTCTGATGGCAAGAAACATTGAATTCTATTGACAATTGAACGTAATACTGTATCTATCTGTACAGACTCCAATGGTTTATTGAAGGTATTTGATTCTCATGTAAGGGACTCGTTTGTTATGTCTTGTTGTAATTCAAACCATACTGCCTGCTCCTTGCCAACGAATTTTACTGTCGGAAAGTGAAAGCATTGTAATTTGAAATTTGTCTCTCTCTCCCTTGGTAATTTAATATCTTGGGAGCCAAGTGACCAGGCGGCACGACGGTATTTTTGCAGCAGGGAGTGAGCAAAGGTAATACCCTCGGAACAAGGTTGACAAAAACATGGTTATTATTGTTTTGTAAACAAAAACATGGCTAGTTAATTATTTAGGGTAAGTGAAACAAACAAAAAAAATACACTGGACGGGTGGTTTAGACATTAATAAAAAGTTTTCTAACATTTAAAATGTAAAAAGAAACAAGGAATTTACATAAATTAAAATTTATCGTTTTAGACCAGGAGGTATGTTAACATTGTTAACAAAGGTGACTGTCGATAAATTTATTGTATAAAACGTTCTTAACTGAACCATACATATTTTTCATATAAAGGTTCATATTATCCACATCAGTTTTCTCAATAACGTTTTAAGCGTAGCATGTATAATTTTTGCATTGACTATATTTAAATGTAATGATTTACTCTACAATTTAATCATGTGCAAATGCTTAAGTATTTGATAGTTTTCTTAACTTTTATGTCTTAAGTTTGTTATTCGACAATTTGTAAAAAAATGTTTACATGCCTCCCTGCATGTCAAAAACGTTAATTTAAATTTTACTTCTTTTGAGATTTTAAAAAATGTCACAAAACTTTTTATTAATGTCTAAACTACCCGTCTTATTGTATTTTTGTTGTTTAATTTAACTAACTTATCTTCGCCATTTTTTCCAGTTCACGCACTTGCGCAGACATTTTTCTGCAGTGTTCCATTCATCTATTTATTCTTGAGACTGAGTTGGAATACTATGGATAAAAAATAACTTAAGAGGCTGTCTCTCTAAGAACCGACCAATGACTCTCGGCTCATAAAATGAAATTCTTCGTTACTTTCACAATGAAATGTATTTACCCCAAGAACAAACAAATACTATTTGGAATTTTGAAATTTTATTAATTTTTAAAATTTCAGCGACTTTTCGGCCCGCGCCGTCGGGCAGAAAATCCTCTGTCTAAATCAGGAATAAAAATTAGCTGAATTCAAATACATATAATTTTAAAAGTATTCAACCAAATTTTATGATTTTTTGGCCCACCAACGTGAAAATTATTCTACTTTGAAACTTACCTTGTTTTATGATACTTTTACAGAAAGATTATGGCAAACTTTAGCGATAACAAGCACCGGGTGTAAATACGGCTTTGTACGCATATCAAATTCGACTTTAAATTTCTCAAAAGTGGCACCTAACTGGATTCAGTGACTAATATGGTTAAAAAAATGGAAGTTTGAAGTACCCATATCCACAATAAAACTTGTAACTGACCGCGATTTGAAGACTCGGCAGCCTCTGGAATTTGATACAATTTGGCTATTTTGTTTAGCTTCAATTATAGCGGAGTTGAGACGTCAGAGCTTCCAGTCACTTGTAAAATACGCTGTTGTTCCGTATTTTTACACAAGCCTTTAAATCATCGTAGTTAAGCGATTTTTCTGTGTTCATGAACATCACAAGTGGATTTAATTAAAAAAGATTTCGATCGATGCAGCGAGGTAAACGTGGTACGCTTTCGTATTAAAATTAGTATCAAACATGGTACGCTTTCGTATTAAAATTAGCTACTCGGGGAAAACCCGGAAATTATTGTCAAATTGACAATGCTGATATTTATTAATCTAAACTCTGTATGTCTATTCTGCACGATTGGGAATGAATTTAAGAGGTTATCTCTCTAAGAACCGACCAATGGCTCTCGGCTCAAAAAATGAAAGTCTTCGTTACTTTCACAATGTCTTTTATGATTTTTTCGCCCACGCACGTGAAAGTTATTCTACTTTGAAACTTACCTGGTTTTATGATGCTTTTACAAAACTATTATGGCAAACTTTAGCGATAACAAGCACCAAGTCCAAATACGGCTTTGTACACATATCAAATTCGACTTTAAATTTCTCAAAAGTGGCTCCTAACTGGATTCAGTGACTAATATGGTTGAAAAAAGGGAAGTTTGAAGTACCAATATCCACAATAAAACTTGTTACCAACCGCGATTTGAAGACTCCCAGAGCCTCTGAAATTTGTTACCTTCAATTATCGCGGAGTTGAGACGCCAGAGCTTCCAGTCATTTGTAAAATGCGCCGTCGTTCCGGTTTTTTTTTTCACACAAGCCGTTAAGCGATTTTTCCGTGTTCATGAACATCAGAAGTTGTTTTAATTCGAAAAGATTTGGCTCGATGCAGCGAGGTAAACGTTACAGCGAGGTAAGCGAGGTAAAATAGAGTCATTGCTAATTTTGGCACTCCCGTCATAAACAGTCTAATCGTGCAACAATTACTGCTATTTATTAGCAGAAAACCAGAACCATGGCGTATTGTCTTGTTTCTATAGCTTCTCTTCCGTGTAATGCACAGCAATTCCATTAGTATATATTTGACAATTTCGATTCCCCACTATATCTTCACATGATACTATACTTTATTGGGGTAATTTACGCATTAATTAACATTCCCCTTTTTGAATACATCGTGAACAGTTTCTACCATTATTCTGGTCGACGTTTCATATAAGAGTTCCCACATGCCCTGGCCTACCCACACCCCCAGTACGACCCTACCCCAACCTCGCGTTTTTGTGACGTCATTTGAAAACTCTTGTATGAAAATAAACTTCACCCTTTATTAGCTATCCTTAAACAATTCCAGGTAAAGTTGATATAACGGTCCTCAAATGACATCACAATAGAGGTGGGTGGGTGTAGGGTAGGGGTCAGGATAGAGTTGGGGTGGGGGTCATTTGGAGACTATTCCATATATGATTTGGAGACTATTCCATATATGACTCTTCTATTAAATTTCAGCCAAGCCCTGGTTGAAACACTAATCAAAACCCTTATTCGAACTATAATCCAAATCCAATTCAATTGGCATGCACCATTGCAACTGGATCTTTTTGAATAATCAGTATCTATAGTAGTCTTCTAGATCAAGTCTTTTTTCCAGTTTAAATTCATTTCCAATCGTGCAGAATAGACATACAGAGTTTAGATCACAGAATAAAGGTTTAGATTAATAAATATCAGCATTGACAATTTGACAATAATTTCCGGGTTTTCCCCGAGTAGCTAATTTTAATACGAAAGCGTACCACGTTTACCTCGCTGCATCGATCGGAATCTTCTAGTTTTAATTAAATCCACTTGTGATGTTCATGAACTTGAATTAAATCCACTTGTGATGTTCATGAACACAGAAAAATCGCTTAACTACGATGATTTAAAGGCTTGTGTAAAAATACGGAACAACAGCGCATTTTACAAGTGACTGGAAGCTCTGACGTCTCAACTCCGCTATAATTGAAGCTAAACAAAATAGCCAAATTGTATCAAATTTCAGAGGCTGTCGAGTCTTCAAATCGCGGTCAGTAACAAGTTTTATTGTGGATATGGGTACTTCAAACTTCCCTTTTTTTAACCATATTAGTCACTGAATCCAGTTAGGTGCCACTTTTGAGAAATTTAAAGTCGAATTTGATATGCGTACAAAGCCGTATTTGCACCCGGTGCTTGTTATCGCTAAAGTTTGCCATAATCTTTCTGTAAAAGTATCATAAAACAAGGCAAGTTTCAAAGTAGAATAATTTTCACGTTGGTGGGTCAAAAAATCATAACATTTGGTTGAATACTTTTAAAATTATATGTATTTGAATTCGGCTAATTTTTATTCCTGATTTAGGCAGAGGATTTTCTGCCCAACGGCGCGGGACCGAAAAGTCGCTGAAATTTTAAAAATTAATAAAATTTCAAAATTCCAAATAGTGTTTGTTTGTTCTTGGGGTAAATACATTTCATTGTGAAAGTAACGAAGAATTTCATTTTATGAGCCAAGAGTCATTGGTCGGTTCTTAGAGAGACAGCCTCTTAATATGCCAGGTGTCATTTGCCATAGACTCCTTGTATTGTTTAATTTTGCTGGTATTAATTCTTCCTTCCGAACTTTGTTATAGTTTCTTGAATTTTCAGTCGACAAATGTATATGAAAACATTTAAAAACAACGGTATGCGTAAAATACATTACATTTCAAAGTTCAAGCATGCGTTATCACATTAATTTTATAAATATATTTATTAATTGTTTAATGCCGATATTATTATTATTTGCGGGAGCTGTTACACTCTCACGAATAATAATAATTTAATTAAATACAATTGTATATACATTCAATTTACAAAGATCGTTAAAAATACTCTTGATAAGAATTAGTGTTTTAAATTCTGTTCATTAAATAACGTCTATCTGAAATTATTGTCATAATACCTACACTAATTAACTTTATATATTAATAATAATATAAAGGTTGCTAAAATCATTGAAAAATCATTAAAAAACGTCCAATAAAAATATTGTTATTAAAATCATTAAAAATGTCCAATAAATAAGGTGCAAAAAGGATCAAATTAATGGATCCTTGCCGATATTGTCTCTATTTCAATATTGATGTCCCCTGGGTTACAGTGTACTCTTCTTAACATTCTTGAGCCTCGTATGCATAGCAGCGCCGATCTAAGGATTGAAAACAATATTTTTGCTCTTAACCACAACATAGTCCTCGAATATGTCTCTCCTTTCTTCTCAGCAAGTAGCTCAGCTAGTCGACGGTTATACCTCAAGCACTCCTCTTCCATTCTACCAGTTGTGGTAAAGACTAATGGTGTAAATGTTCCCTGTTCAATATATGTGACCCGATTTTGTACACACGTTTCTTTTCATTCTTGTGGATACGATAGATCTGTACAGGAGTTAGGTCACGGTAGGACTCTGCATTTGGGTGACATACCCGGTATCAAAGAATGCAGACCTTTGTCTCTTCCAAAAGCCATGTGCATGTACATCAAGTCGAGAGTCAAGTGAACGATTTGCGCCTGTGTTTAATGTTCACCATTTATTTCTTGTAGAGTAGGTTCAATCTGAACATCATTACAAACAATGTTTAGAAATTCAGCTTATAAATCCCGTAATTGGTTGTGGCGTTGAATAATAAACCCCCCTCGACCGCATATCATAGCATGGTCTATGTTGAAAGAATAATAATAATAATAATAGTAGCAGCAGCAGCAGCAGTAGTAGTAGTCATCATAATAATGTGTGTCCTATACACTACAGATATGAGACTTATTGTCAAGTTTAAAAGATACGTTTAAACGGTACGTTTAAATTTTGGGAACGATATAATTTCTCTAATGTTTAATATTAAGGAGAGATGATTACAGTAATTGTTTTATTATACAATTGGAATTGCAAGAGCACATGCAGTTGCAGAGAGTTTTGTAGGCAGCAAGACATTGAGAATCGTTTGTAGATTCTTAGCCAATCACCATGGAGATTGCATATGCATTGTACAATAACATCTTTTCTTATCGTTATTAAAGTTTGTCTGTGTTGCAGGTTCTCTGGGTTAATGGGAGGGTTTTGGGGAGTTGAAGTTTACCAGGCTAGCCAACATGTATGCATGTGTACCTATTTTTTGCACTTGTTTTAGGGCATACAAATGAGTAAAGAAGAGATCGATTTATTCAGTGAATATGCAGAGAAAAAGGCTGAGAAGGTATTTATGCTTGCTATAGTGTGGCTATATCACAGACGTCCAATACTGCCGCATAGATCAGGGTTTGTAGTCTCCAAGACCAAAAAATTTCAAAGATTTTTTCTGCCTATTGTCAAAGACTCAAGATCTAGTCCCGTCAAATCACATCCCAAAATGCACTTTTTCGTCGATATTTGCGAAAATCTTGTTTCAACCAATCTTATTTTATTAGCTAGGAAATCGCATAATCAAATAATCACTAAAGAATTTAATGACCTGCATTCAAATTTAAAGACTTTCAAAGATTTCAAAGACCGCTACGACCCCTGTAGATACGGGTCGTACAAGTTGTAAAATTCCGTCATTATGAAGACCTTTTTAACACAATACTCTCCAAATGATATGGCTCGTACAATCCGGTATTTAATAGGCTACATGTTTTGTGTTTCACCTAATTAATACTTTGCCACATGATGCAGAATCATTTGACAAGTCGTTCGATTTGCCAAATTTGCCCGCGCTGGTTACGAGCCAAACAATTTGTCCGCTCGGCACAAAACTATAATACCACAAATCAATTATTATATTAAGGAATACACATTATAGAATTACCTAGTTCTTTCAAAACCGCTCAGAATTGAACATGGAAAATGTTGACTTTCTATAAACCATGCACAACTCAACAAATATATATATATATAATATGAATTGCCTCCTTCTTTTAAAAACCACACACGTAATTGGACATGGAAAATATTGGCTTTCCATAACCCATGCGCACCTCAACAAAAATGATCATGTAATTGCCTTGTTTTTTTCAAAAACCACACTGAAGTGGACATGGAATTATTCTTTACTGCTGTCAGCTCCGACAACAAACATCGGCCAAGACACCCATTTGTCGAGAATCTACACCGATATAAACCTGTGGATATTGCAAACATGTTCAACAATGTTAACTACTTTTTATCTGTATACACATCTGACAAGTCTGTGGACGCATTTTCTGACATTTCGGCATCATGCGGCAATCATGAAACTCGATTCCATATAAACAGAGCGCTTGTTTGTCCTGCCTGGGCGCGTAACTCGCCTTGCCGGGTAACTCGTCTTGCTGGGTAACTCGTCTCCATATAAACAGGCCCCTATTCGTACAGAGCATTTTATCGGCAATCATTTTTCTGCGGTAAGTTAATGGCTTTAGTTTAAAGAATGTTTCTTTAAAGATGTTAGATGCGAAAAATCAGAATTTACATTAAGAGTTTCAAACGTTCACTGGTTAAAAATATTTGTTTTGATAAACTTTTTGACTGTTAGTCTGCAGCCTTCTACGGGTAAGAATGAAAAACACCACTCTGAATGGGGGACCAGGAAAAGCATAGACAACGTCTTCGCGAATGTATGTTTAATTATTGTTTTAATGCATTGACCAATTCCATCTCAGAGTCATCAAATTCTATAAACACGAAATTGATTGTCATGTCACAGGTTGTGCCAACGAAATATCACTAATTTACATTAAATTTCAAAGCATTTTTAAGTCGGTATTAAATTTCTTGGCTTCATAAAAAATGAAGTATTATTCCGGTGCCCATGTCATTTTTGGCACCACATTATATTCTGCCTGTGAGTTTGTTTGTTTGTCCGTTTGTTAGTGTGTTTGCATCAATACGTTTCCTTAATCGCCTACTAAAAATTCCTTGCACTTGCTCTGAATTTATTAATCTTGTACTCTCAAGATCGACTACTTGCTAGGCTTTATCTTTGGTTTTATGTGTCAAACAAGGACAAAAATACTACTGTCCGAACCAGCATGAAAACTTCTTGCATTTACAGATGGAAAATTGATTTCTATTCTTGCGATTTATGGCCTTTGACAGACAAGCCGCTCAAAATAATCCTTCACACGTTTTCCGAATTCCTTTTTTCGAGGAAAGTTTTCTTTCGAATTACAGTAATCTCGGACTCTCACAATTGACTTTTTGCTGCGCCTTATCTCTGGTTTTATGTGCCCAATAAGGACAAAAATACCACCATTTGATCCAGTGTAAGAGGTTATACTCACATATGTCAAATGTATTACTAAACAACAGTATTCTAGCGATTTATGGCCTTTGAAAGACAAGCGAAATTGTATTGTTAAGAAATCGCTCAAAATTATTAAACTAATTAAAATGCAATACATTTGACCTTGATAACTTTCATATTGTTGGTTTTCTCTTTTCGGCCATATACTAGTGGATTCGTCTCATTTTTCTCTTTATTTTGTTAGTGGTTTGAGCCCAAAATATTTTATTTTGAAGGCTTTAAAACACAGTTTTGATCCTAACATATGGACCAACTGGCGGCCGACAGGAGAATGTGTAGCGTGCTAAATATAACTTTACTTGTGCATTTAGACGGAAAGGCCGAAAGTTTTATTTGTAGGCGGCACCACATTTTAGTACTATGCCTGGTTATTTTTTTTCTGGTCCGTAATCTCAGGTCCGTAACTTATATGAGCCTTCTGATTGGTTGATGAGAGGTCTGTATCACATGATACGGACCTCTCCGTGTGCATCAGGGTTTATTTTAACGTGCAGTTCGACACAAAATGTGCAGTTCTAAATCCATTTGTGCAGTTCTTAAAACACAAATGTGCAGTCACCAAACTAACAAAAATAGCCTTAATTAAAACAGTCTTTTCATTTACTCGTTACCCTTGTGGATGCTCCAGAAAATTCCAGAAATGCTGTCATTAATTGAGCATCAAAAATATAAACGTTTTCTGGGGGAGGACTCCAGACCCTGCTATTTTCCTCACAAATCACTTACGTGCTGGGGTAATGGAAAAGAAGGTAAAATTGGGGTGAAATTTTGTGAGTGGTTGGGTAAAACAAATCTTTGCCAGAACTTAAGAGCCTCTAGATTCAAATTGTTTTGGAGGACAACCCCTAGCTCCCGCACCCAAAATCGAGTTTGTCTGGCCTTTCTCCCACCCAACCACACCATTATTCTGTCACCTATATGCATGTAAAAAATCATTCGACCCCCTCCCAGTCAAACACCTGTTGCCTTCATAACATCCCTATATGTGCAGTTCTAAATTTTTCTTAAAATAAACCCTGGCGTGCATTATGAAACCCCTCACATTTTGCGCCAAAAACAAACCGAGGAGTGAAGACAAATTTCAAACTGAAAAAAATATCTAAAAATTTGAAAACCCTTCTGCCCTATCGATACTAAAGATAGAAAAATAAGCTGAACTGACTTTAATGGATAAAATGTCAATCCCGAAATCACAAAAAAAACAACAAGTATTTCTTTTACATTGTATAAGTATAAAAAATTAATGACCGAAGTTGTTGATTTTTTGCTCCACTTTCTTGACAAACACAATATTAAACACAGTTTTTATTTTTGTGGGAGAGAGGTTCTGGGTTGTGAAGAGTCCATTTAGGCTACAGTATATGACAAGCATCATGCCTACTCATATGTCACACCCTATTAACTGCACTGATTTTGAACTGGCTGCTGATAATCTAACCAAGATTCACTTGGACAGTCCTAACCTGACCAACTGGAGCACAAAACCCCAGAATGGACATTCCTTACAAAACCGCTATGGACAGTCCTTAACCTGACCAAAGGCACTAGACCCATATGGGCAGTCCTTAACCTGAACATGAGGGGTAAACCCCCATGGACTGTCCTTAGATTTAGATATATTATGTGTGACATATATTGAGTCTATGGGCCTGAAGTTGACATTTTATGGAGACTTCATCCCCACAAATACACAGAATGTGTATTCCTCATAGGCGAACCCTCCCCCCAAAACGTTGTTAGTTACTTAGCGGTTAGCACATTTGTCAAAGTGGCTGATACCCCTGATAGAGTTGCAAGACAGCTGCTGCCAGATGAAAGTTAGACATATACCATCACTCATACTATAGCTGGATAGTCGGGGAGGCCAGAAAAAAGTGCAATATACAGGAAACCTGGATGGGGCCAAGACAACCAGCAGCTTCCCCACAAACAAAGCTCACCATCAAGGCACATTTTTAATGTAAATGTGTTCATTAACATTTTGCACAACATTTATTTGTTAACCACTCTTATTTTATTTCAATTATGATTGGTGGAACTTTCTTGAGTTATGTGACATTATTCTTAGAAAAATAGCAGGACCAAAATGCAATTCAGGTGCTTATAACCACAGTGTTGCGATCGAACATCCAATCATGCATTCATGATATTAGCAGAAATTGTAAAATATGTATTTGCTAGACTAAATATATCATGCAGTTAAATGATACTACATCAAAGGATTTTCAATTTTCATGAGCGTAGGCATGCATGGTATTGTTAATTCTGTACCAATCTTTCATGACATCCATCTTGCCGACTTATCGCAAATGTAGATAAATATATATTTGAAATCTTAAATTTCGTTAACAAATGAGCTTGCTTTCTTATGTTTTGAACAGTAAAGTATTGACAATGTTGCAGGTCCAATTAATGTTAGGTTTTATTAACATGCACCCTGAAACACCTGAAAATGAAGTTTATAAGTCTACTTTTGAACAATTGAATACAGTTTAATGTAAGGCCAGAATCCTGATCCAACGTCTAAAAAATTTTGGGATCATGAAACCCAATCCAACGTCTAAAAAATTTTGGGATCACTTTAAGGCTTGGTTACCAAGCACTGAGCTATATAAATACAATGGATAATTTGTTATCATTAAGTAATACGTATCACGTAACAAAGTATTGTATTTATATGTGAACGTTGTTATTCATCTTTAAGCCTGAAAATGATATTTAAAGTTCGTTTTTGTGGTTGTTCTTCCGAATGTTGCTTTGTCTACATTTGCTGGTGAACAAATTTTTTCAAGATTGAAATTTCATTCTGATAGTCCTAAAAATTCTTTGGGATAATTACTTATTGCTTTCTATTTGACAGAAACTCGGTTTCATAGTAGCTGAACAGAGGGGACTTCCGTCTATGCATGGGCGAGAAACGTAAGTGTGGAATGCATGTGAGCGCGGGTTGATCATGTGACTGAATTCTAAAAACAAACACCAAATTTGCCAAAACTACTTGTGTTATGAAGTCGTTTTCTTGTTTCTTTAGTGTTTCTACGCTCACAATTTTAGGCATTTCCGACTTAGAAGTATTTCTTTGGAATAAGAATGTGAAAGTAGAGATAAAAACTTTGTTGCAGCAGTTTAATTTCACTGTACAAATATACCTGTTTTATATGTATATTGTTTTCAAAGTGCGATATACAAGTGCAAATTGACCTTCTTTAAATTCGTACTTACCCTATTTTTGACTCCATAAAAATTACTTTTATCCATGGAGAAACTATTTGACTTTAAAAATAAGCTTGAATTTTTGTGGTGATATAGGCTAGTTTCTTTGAAAACAGTGATTCAGTACTCAGTAGTGTACTTGTTATATATGAAGAAAAGCCTTAAATGATTTAACATCCATCAACAAAAAGGAATCGCACTTATTACTACTCGTTAGAAGATAGACAATTGACCGATTTTTAATTCACTAGGAACCCGTTCTACAATATAAATTAGAAATCGGCCAACATATTGTCACGAAATACTACAATTAAAATAGGGTATCAAAACTAATGATTTATTTATTTATTTAATGAATTTATTGAGCCATCTACATACGTACTTATTTAATGAATTTATTGAGCCATCTACATACGTACTATATCAGGTACAAAGATAAAAACTTGACAAACGAAAGACAAAACACACGTCACAAATCACAAATTAGTAGATACACTCAAACGGAAAAGCACAAACGGGACACTAAAAGTCCCATGCGAGGTGCTCCCCGTAATTAGTTTTGATATAGTTAATTAATTACAAACACACACATATATATTACTTGTGGTATTAAGTCCTATGGCAAGGACAGTCACGATTTAATGACCACGTACAAGCCATGTCTACGTCATAAACATTACTAATTAATGTATAGTATCTACGTTTAAGATAGTGTTTAAAAGAGTTTGGATTACGGAAAATGTCAGGTGAGATTTCTTGGCACACTGTGTTCCAAATCTTTACAACACGATTGTAGTATGAAGACTGGAAAGTATTAGTTTTACAGAGTTTACTTTGAAGGATATATCTTAAAATTTCACAAAAAATAAATTAAAAAAAATAATAAAAATTAAAATTATTATTATTATTATTAAAATTATTTTTTTAAATTTTTGATTTCACAGAACAGTCAAGTTTCTCTGCCAAGATCGCCTCTTTGCCCAATTTTCATCGAGTAGATCATCGTGTAATCAAGTCAAGGATTATGTATACTTTAACATAAAAGAATAAAAAAAACTGGTGATAAAGGTAGATTTTGAATAAAATACGAATATCTGTATACAAGATCTGAGCGTTATTATGAACTCGGTGGCCAAAAGCCACGCATGTATAAGGCAAACAAGAAGGTGTGTTGCAGAAGAATCCTTAATTCCACCAACTTGGCAGGGATGGAGCTGTGGTAGTACAATTTGGGATAACCATTTGAACACAAAACCTTCAAGTAACTTACTTAGGACAGCCGTCAGTGAAATTGGACGAAGGTCATTTTCGATTGATTCAGGTTTGGAAACTTTCGGGATGGGTGTAACGTCGGCAAACTTCCAAAGTGAGGGGACATGTCCCTGTATTATTGATGAATTAAAGATTTGGCATATTGGGTGATTAAGAAGACGTGCACCATTCTTTAAAATCCAGTTAGGAATTTCATCAGGACCGAACAATTTACATATGTATATCTTTTTCGAAGTGAGATATACAAGTGCAACTTGACCTTCTTTAAATTTGTACTTGCCCTATTTTTGACTCCATAAAAACTACTTTTATCCATGGAGAAACTATTTGACTTAATTGCCTTATTGTCTTTTTTTACTGACTTATGTTAGGAGGAGGTTTCTTATCGCCACAAGAGCATGGGCCATTGGCCTATTTGGCAGGCTATGTTATAAGGTCTTTGTACCAAAAAAGCAAGAATTGTTCCCGGTGGCAGTCCCAACGAAACACAGAAATTCAAGCATTAATGAAGTTGAATATGTTGGAAAGAGACAGATAGTTAAAATCGAACAACTGGCAACTAAGCAAGACAACAATAACTTGGAACACATTTTTGTGGCATATATTTTGGGCAGAGAAGTGCTCGAAAACAGTTCTGGCCGAACTGTCTAGAGGCTCTCACTAACCTAAGTTTTATCTAGAGAAACAGGCGAATCTCTAGACTGCAGAGGGCATGCTTCACTCTGTGCATGTCGTTCAGCGAGTTGAGACCTAGTTGGACTGGTGAACAACTATTGGTATAGGGCACATTACCCAGGGTACTCAAAGCTGGCTGAGGATACACGCAAAAACTGTAGGTTGTTCTAGAGGAACAGGCGGACCTCTAGATAACAGGGGAACAGGCGAACCCCCGTTCAGATCCGTCAGGCTGTCGACATTGAGACCTAGTTGGACTGGTGAACAACTATTGGTATAGGGCACATTACCCCGGGCCGCAACTGATAACCTGACTGACCACATCGAGTCTGTAGGACTGCTCATTCAGGTCTTCAGTGCGACCTGAATGAGCAGTGATTGCGCTTCACGTGGTGAAGTGTTGTCCATCGGACAGCACTTCCCTGCCAGTATATAATTATTTATTGCATATCTTTACATAAGTAGGTTACAAATCTACGAGTAACGTGCTAACTATATACATGAATATTCATTTTTCTAATTAACTGTCCTTACAACACGCCATATTGTAGAGACGCAGATCGGTGTACATGATTTTTGGGAGGTGGGTGGGTTTTTTACATTTCCACTTCTTTGCCAAGGTTTGGTCCCTTAAATTATTAGCCAAAAATTTTGCCAGAGATGTTAACGCACTGGCTAAAGTCTTGCGAATGAGCATTGCACGTCGACACTGCGATCAAAAGTCCTTGCGCAAAGAGGGGGCCATTGTACGTATGCACGTGAAGGACAAAACCTTCAGGATAATTTCTGATTGGTTAATCCCAAGTTTGCATCAGTTGTTCACATGCTTAGCAGCCAAAGTTCGATATTTATCAGATATTTTGCAATATTAACAGGGCTAGAAAACGGTTCCCTTGTTCTGCCAAGGTACTTGGACCTTGTACGTACCTGGTACGGATTAATTGTTGTGACGCAGATGCGTTGGCAGACTGAAAACACCCTCGGGCAGATAGAGCCTTCAGAACATATTACTCCATTAACCGCAATTTATAGCTTTGCTTAAATTGATTATTTAATGTATTCAATGCGAACTGTGACAGAGGACAATGAGTATATATTATCTTTATCAAGAGGTGGCCTTTGGTCACCTCATTCATGGCTTGTTAGTATTATGGAAGTTAGTGAGTTAGTTTTTAGGAAGCACACAAATAAAGACATGCAAGGTCACTCCTCTACCAGTAAACAAAATAGTGAATGAAGTTTTGGCTTCTTCCCTTGTGAAAAGCTTGTGGTGCAATATTATTGCAAATTGTGATGTGGAAATCACTAAAGAATGTCAGTCCCTGTGTTTAGAAAATATTGTAATGTTGTATGTTACTGTTAGATGTTTCTCATTTGCCAAACATATTGTAAACAAATATAAATTAAGTGAAGGTGTTAAGCGAAAGAAGGCTCTATGGAAAGACTTGAAGAAAGCTAGTAGTGAACTGGAATAATGTCATTTAGTATTATATGTAGTTCTTCAACCATTTGCCACCAAGGAATCACATTACTGTATTCAAGCATATTAACTATGATTCAAGGTGGCTTTAAAATATTGCACTTGATCAAACCTCCAGCTAAATATATTTAATAGTGATAAATGATATTCCTAGGGCAATAAAAAAGGCATTTTTAACCAGTCAGAAAGTTTACACCCATATTCTAAAAGCTCACACACACTCAATGACTGGAAGTTCAATATGAGCTTCTCTTGAGTGTCAAAGGTCTAGTGTCGTACCACTCACCCTCCAGCTATTCAAAAACAGCATTTACACTCAAGAAAAGCTCAGATTGAACCTCCACTCATTAAGTATGAGTGAAGTTGTAGAATACGGGTGTTAAACTTTAAGAGCTAATAACTATTATTAATAGTCACACAAGATTTTATATTGAAATTATTCATTATGTCATCAAGCCATATATATTAATGGTCAAGCAAGCTATAGAATGCTACTTCCCCAAGCAATTGTTGTTAGTTAGCAGATGCAATTCCCGTCTTGCATCAACTTTTTGTTTTGAAATATTTGGTCAGAAAAGGTTTGGGCATAATTTGAGTCACTGTTAATAAAATATTTATTGCAACTGAATGGTAAATGTAAATAGTTTGCAAAAAGGTGTTAATTGTAAATGTTTGTATAGTAATTTACTAGTATTAAATTTCAGTTTAATTAATAAGCCAGCATTTGAAAGAGTTACTTCCATAACACTTAAGTACTGATTGGACAGGAAAAAGCATTTAACACTTTTTGTGAAGTGTTACATCACAGTTTACTATAATCGTGGCTAAGAATTAGAAACAATACCCCAAGTCCAAGATGCTATCTAATTCAGCCAAGGCCAAGTCATAGTGAAGCATTTGTAGCTCAACAAAAACCTTGTCAGGGCAACAACTGAATTTACCTTCATCTTCAGGCCAGTGAAGGTTTGGACACTCAAGAACATATGCCCTTTGTCATCATCTGAGAATGGACCTCTCAGATGATTTCCAGCTTGTCAAGTATGGTAAGAATTCATTGTTTAGCCAATCAAACCTGCTATCATCTATGTGTTGGTATGGGGCCAGTTGTGGATTGCGCTTTCTTTGATGCTCTGAAGTTAACAGACATTCATTGCACTTTCTTTGATGCTCTGAAGTTAACAGACATTCATGCAATCAAAAAAGTCGTTCATCATTTGGCAAAACTTGGCTGTTTCACTTGCCTCTCCTGATAAATAGTGTCACTTGAGAGCTTTGGACACTGTATTGCTCAACACTTGAACTGCAAAGCTAACTTTCATCTTTGAATAGGACTTGAGTTGGATATGCTCTACAGTTAACTTGGGCAGTTGATGTAATCCGAAATCCAGATCTGAATAGTACAGCTTTGCAATATGTTCCTAAAGCATGTACTTGTCATTGTTCCACAAGTAACGGGTGTGTTTACCACTGCCAGAATTAAACAGACAGTTTCTTGCAGTCTTCAATAAATGTGGGGCATCAGAAAAGAAGTACATCTTCCTGCTAGGGGCAAATAAGTTGGTAGTGTAGTGTACCAAATCCCCAGAGTCTGCATCAACTAGGTCTGCATGCAGTTGGAAAAATAGGCGATTTGGTGAAGCTCCATCAGATACAGCTACACAAACCCAGCTCAGGCATGTTAATGCCTGGGTCTGCCCACGCTTGTCGCTTGGATAATATCTTGCGCATGTGTTGCACGTGCAATTGCACGCGCAATCTGTCAGTAATGCGTCTGTTAGAATATGCGCCCCTTGTATGAGTATTTTAGTGAATTCGGGCATTTGTTTCAAATCAAAATATAGTACATATGAGCGACAGGACTATTTTGGAATATACAATGCAAAGAAGTCGGTATACTATTCAGTTTTTATGTAATACTTGGCTCTTTGTATAGCAATAAGTATTGTATCATTTGCAACAGCTGACCTTTGAACTGCTGATAAATAAAAGCTTCTTATAGTGCGCTATCTTGCGATTATTTAGTGATAATTGTTGATTGTTTCTTATTTTCAATGAAAAATTGCTTGTGAATTATAAATTAATTATAGCACGTATAGTTCACTCGGTCTTTTCCACCATGGCATACTTCCCTTCAAGCATTAACTATGCTTGAAGATATCGGCTTGAATGTGCAATGAATGTTGTTATTGTAAATATAATATCCCTTACAAAAGCATCAGACTGTTTCATTATGGCGTGTGAAATTCATCACACGAAAAACACGTTCAACTTCCAGCAGGGTAATTTGATGAAATTTTGCTATTTTTAAGGGAACAAAGTTTCCTGCGTTAATTTGGAAATCGTACATTTATTTGTAGATAACATTTTATGATGCGATTAACATTCGTTTGATGCCGATCGTTGTAATATAGCTGCATAAAATAGTGAAACGAAGCCTAAATGTAAACTTTCCAGATTCATTCAATAAACAGCGATATTATGTGTGAATGATTGTCGCAATTCTGCATCCTCTCAGTCACGAAATATACTGCTGTAGAGCCTCTGAATAAAACATCATTTTTTGTGTTGTTTTTCAAAATATACATCACATGATCGTTTCCATGACAACGAAAAGTAGTTCAACTTTTAGAATCTCCTTTGATAAATCATATAAAACTTGAATGGTAATAATCAAGGCCATACTTATTTTTTTATGATTTTTTGTCTATTTTTGCTAAATACACAAACTGAGACCCAGGCATTAACGTACCTGAGAGAGGTTGCAGACAAGCTCGAGCACAGACACTGCTTTCTAGAACAAAGGCATGATCTGATAGCATGTGACATCTTTGGTTAAGAAATAGCCAAGAGCATATTTCAAATCTGTGGCTGCACCTCTAACAAAAAAAGCAAGGGCATGTGTGGCAAGATCAGTTGAACCAAGACTACTGGTGTTCAGTTCCTCTTTGCCAAGATCGACAGAACCAATAAGTTCATTGGAATGTTTATCAAAGACTAACTTTGACTGGATCTTCATCTCATCAAATGCGATGACAACATACCTTTGGACATTGAAATACTGGCTTGTTTGATTCCTCAACCGCTCTACATTTTTAGGGTGGAAACTAGCTTTAGGTGTGAAAACATTTCGACCAAAATGCCAGAATCTCGCAATTCCTTATATGCTGCTGGTGATTTGGCATGGATTGGAAGGCAAAATCGGATGATGTGTGGGTGGTATCTTCTTCCCAACTTTGGTGATGCAAGCATTTTCCGTTGTTGCTCCCAGAAAACTCTCATATGTGGAGTTATCTCATCACCACCATCAGCAAGTATTGCCAGAATATCTTTTTCGAAAGTCTCATCTATAGGGACGCTGTTCTTTGCAATCTCTTTTTCCAACTGCGAGATACGACCCTCAAGCTCCTTGCAGACAACTCTCTGTCTTTGCACTGTAGCAACCAACCGTTCTTTACTTGATTTGGACAGAGGTGCTTTACCCTTTAGGGGTTGAGGTGGTTGTACATCGTGTTTTTCTTTCTGCTTGTTGACAGACTTTTCTTACTTGATACAATTGGAGCGGGAAATGTTACCACAAAGCAATTCACAATCTAATGATCTCAAAAAGATACAGGCTTGAAAGGGAACTCTCTAGCTTGGAAATAATGGTTGAGATGCTGGTGTGCTTTACCGATCGCTTCAATTCACTGTAGATCACATGATCGTCAGGTAGAAACCAGTTATACACAGCAACAGAAAAATCGAGACTAGAGCACAGTATAGGAAAACTACAGTAGGGCCACTCAGCGTGAAAAAGTGTCCACATTGTTTACTGGCTGCCAACTTAATTTACATATTGGCAGCCAGTAAACGGCAGCAGTTCACTATAAAATTGTATTACAGAGTAATGATTTTGGCCGCGTAAGGCACCTGGGACCTAGCTTAAATAATTCCCACTTTGCTCTCCCCTAAGTGGCCCTACTGGTTGTCTCCCTATACTGTGACTAGAGGCAACAGAGCAAGTTATCTTGGGCAACGAAAATGTTGGATTCCAGAACTCAATTCCGGTTTTCAGCCATCCCTTCATCTTCAAACCCAGAAATCGTTTCTTGAAGCTCTCCAAATTATGATATACAACAGGTTTATTGTTGCAGAAGTAACAGTACTCTTCACTGGCAAATTTAAAGATGGCACTGCTCCTGGCACCAGTCTCTTACGAGTAGAGGCCAAAAGGTAAATGACAACAGGTGGGCAATTTGTCGACGCTGACCAAAAATAGCGGCTCATTTCTTCTTGAGTTGCCATTTTCGCGTCGAAGAGCAAAAATACAGACTTTCGGAGAATATTTTAGCTGTTTACTATCAAATATGTTTGTGAAACAGTTGATAATCTCACTGAGGAAGGCCAACGGTTTCTGAAAAGCTAAAGTACGTCGAAATCAGCGTTGGAATCGACTATATTTTCACCGGGGAAACATGAACTAAATAGATATTTACATCAACACTAAATTTCACTCGTGCCTACAGAGCTAGTTGGATTAAAACAGATGTTAAGAAGTAAGTGAAAATGTGAATTTTGTGAATTATACTTTCATTAAAATGTTTCAGAAGGGCTGCTAATGTCAAACTACATGTGTAACAGAGCTGTCAGTAACCCATATTTCAATGTTTATGTTGAAATGGCCCATCTTCTTTGAGGTATAGCTTAAAAATTAGGGTATGCTCATCACTTGAAACTAGCTTTAAATCAAAGTTTTATCTATAGTCTTTCTATTAGAATTGAAATCATTCATGGGGAAAATGTGCCAGAGGGTTGAAATTGCCCTTGTAAATGTACACTATTTTTTATATGCTTGGGTTAGTATTTTGAAAAGGTGTTTTGGAAAGATAATATGTCTTGAACAATACTGGTTGACCCTTAAATTATAACTAGTGTTATGTAAATCACAGAAAATTGAAAAAAGTCTGGTCCATACACAATAGTTTGGATTCTATGAAGTCCCGAATGTGGCTTATTTCAATGTTTAATCTGTTTACCTGGAAAAACATAGAAAATTGAATAAGTCAAGAATTTGACTATGCTCATCACCCAAAACCAGGTTTTTCTAATTGCTTTTTCACCTGGGTTTGTGGCAATACCAGTTATGCGACCATGAAAAATGCACGCGGCACTTTTTTTGGACACTGAAGATGACAACATTTGATGTTGTTATCTATCAGCATCCTTTTATCATAGTATAACCTAACTTATTTTAGTGAGTTTGTTAAAGAATTGTGCTCACTATATGCCTGTAGAATCTAAGATTTTTTTCATAGTTTTAGATGATAAATTTAAGTTCTGTTTTCTTTTATTTTTAGGTGATAGTATCTGTTCACATGTGTGTTGGTATCAAATATTGCACAAGATTAAATTACAGCCAATTGCAGTTGAGCTTGCAGCTTGCATTTTAAACGCGTTGTTATATCGTTGAAAAGTATGCGTTCATTCCTTAGAAACACGCCGTTGTTAGGGGCATAACGTGAACTTTTGGCGGGCATTGTTGAACTTCTGAACGGCGTGCAAACAAACGTATAACAAGTTAAATATATTGTAAAAACGCTGCTTAAGCCTGCGACGGAACAGTAAGGTATTTTTAGAATGCCTGCAGTCAAATTAGAACTCCCTGGTCGGTTTTGTGACAAAATCTAATTTAATTTGTCAACGCCAAGAATAGAAAAACATGTTTACGCTGTTACAACGTGCGCCAAAAGTTCACGTTACGCCCCTAGCAACGGCGTGTTTCCAAGGAATGAACGCATACTTTTCAACGATGCAACAACACGTTTAAAATGCAAGCTGCAAGCTCAACTGCAATTGGCTGTATTATTTCACATTCCTTTATTGAAATGTCCAAATAAATGGAATATGACATCAAGCTGGAGAACTAAATCTTGTTTCCAAACTTGTTTTTGTAAAAATAGAAAATAACAACTTATTATGTGCTGTTCTAATAAAAACTATTGTTTGTGATATGCATATTTAATTTTTGAAATTACATTTCATTCTTTGTTAAAATCTGTACCAGGGATACTGAAATCTTTCAGATAAGCTAACAATACCTTTGTAACTTATATAGCCAAGTGTTCTATCTATTTCTGTTCAGATTAAACAAATGATGGGTAAAATATTAGATTAGATTTTTGCCAAAAAATGAAGTTGCCTGTTTTCAAAGCATAAAAAGCAATAAAATAAAGCAAAAGTACTTATTTTCAATTTAAAACCAATTTGATTGCATAGCTTAATGTTTTCCACTAAATATTACAAAGTTTTCGTTCATTAAAATGTTGTTTTATCAGCTTTAAAACCAGATAAATTCACGAAACACTCCTAATATATGTCGCCATATTGATTTTCTTCGCGCATGCTCAGACAAATTGTCCACCTGTTGTAAATGACAGCTTTCAAGACAAAACAGAGACTTTGTAACATTTGTCAGTTGACTGGTACCTTGTACTCAGAGAATATTATTGTACACAAAATAATACGCACTAAGCACAGTGCATCCTGGTGTATCCTACATTGCTATTTTACCCCATCTGAGGACAATGATTTTACTTTTATTTTACTTACTATTCAAACCCTTGAAAACACAATGTGCCCAGATGCCCCCATACTTTCTTAATTTGCAGTTTATACAGTCCAAAGTCAGATCATTTTAATTGCCAAAAGGATTAGGTCTGGTGCCTTTAATTGTAGCCTTTGACAACTTGTTTATGTGAATACTGCATGGTGGTATAAAGGCTGATTAGATACTGTAATATAAATGAAGATTTTTCATTATTACTATGATTCAACGAAATATCTAAAGTGTGACATGCAAGTTTATACAATCGCTTTAATTTATTAATACAGCTGACTAATTTCAACCCCACAAGCGGCAAGCCTTGTTGTGCTTGAGAGACGTGCAGCCGGATATTATGTGGATTCCACGATAGTTCATGCATAAAGTGCTTATTATTCTCTACACTCTGTAATTAATATACTCGCACTATTTGAAAATAATGCTTTGATCAGTGGCAGTGCTACAAATCCTACAATTTATCATTTGACATTTACAGATTGAGTTTATATTTTACACAAAGGCATTCATTGTACTCAGGTGTCTGTTCATTGACACATTTGTTTCAAATTTTCACTGCACAGTTTTACTAATTGTTTACAGGGGCAAAATAAGAATACACTTACGACAATCAATTTCTTCAGTCTTGAAATGTTTCTCGCAAACATACAGCTCGCCTGTGTTGATCTGGCAATGTAAACTTTTGTCCACAACTTGATCCTTTGCGATTACGTTCAGCCAAGCCTCTAAAGTTCTCATTGATAACTCGTCTTTGCCAGACAGAATTCTAAAGATTCTGAGCCCAACATGCTTTCTGCTGGTTCTGCAACCAAATATTGAGCAATTAGCTCCAGGCATTGTAGAAAATATTACCAAACCAACAGCTTTTTTTGTTTTGCAACATATGGTAATTTTACATATTGAATTCTACTCATATGGTAATTCTTCATTATTCATCCATATGTTGGGCCAACCTACATATATTATATACATTATACACTGTTGTTTATATAATAACATAGTTGCCTGGGTTTCTTTTGTTTCAACAGGGTCGATTACTAATTACGTTTTATCTTAAATTTGCTGATTGCAAGTAGGGCGCGCATAAATGGGAGCGCAACTATGCTATTACAAACTGATAGCATGGCTTTTCAGGAGATTAGTGATTAAATGACCCCTTAGCCTCGGCAGGTTTGCAGAATTCCCTCGGGCTTCACCCTCGGGGATTCCGCAAACCTGCCTCGGGTTACTGGGCGGCCATTTAATCACTAATCTCCCTCAAGCCATGCTATTACTTATAATAAACCATATAAATGAAAATCCAGACCAGTTTTTATTCACATATACCAATTTTAATAGTACTTCTAATTTATACACAATACTTTTGTACCCCTTCCTGCTGGTAGGTTGTGGCTATCTAACAGCAAAGCTCACTAAGAAAAGACATGTATAAAGGAAATTTGTTCTCACAGTTGCACATCTATGTGTAGTAAATGAAATGACCCTCACAACCATTTTTTTGCAACAAATTTGATAGATTTACCAATAAGTACAACTGATTTGGACTAAGAATATTACCAACATATTAGTCCAGTATTGTTGTGATGTAACGATATTTAGCCTCGAAAAGTACTCGATTTAGTACAAAAACAGTGAAAATAAACTTTAATACGAAATTCCTACACGAGTTTACTGTTTACTTAGCGTTCTTGTCTATAGTACACTGATCTCAATAATCCACTGATTGTCTGCGCGCGTGTCCCGCGTTTTGCGTGAAAAAGTCATATCTCTTCTAAACATCCCCCCTCCCTGCACTGCTGAACATGCAATTGCAGTGCGATTTAACTATTTTAACTCCTTTCTAGTCCATAATATCAATGTTCAAGTTTAAGGTCCCGAGTCCTTTCAAACTGAAGGCTCTATCTACAAGTCAAGAAACTATACTCTTAGTGGGACAAGTTTGTGAATGGGTCTGACCAATGACTTGTTTCCCAGCTGCACCTTTGCCTCTATGCTATGTCCGTCTTTCCCTGGATATGTCGCTATGATTCGTCCCAATGGCCATTTTCCTCTCGGTAAGTCTTTATCTAAGACCAGAACAACGTCACCATCTTTCAAATCTTTTACCACGTTCGTCCACTTCGGTCGTGTGTTCAATGTTGGTAGATATTCCTTCAACCAGCGGTCCCATACTCGTGACAGAATTGCTTGTACCTTACGCCATCTTTCACGAGGGTTAGCGTCCATGTCGATCACCTCTGGTGCGAATTCTCCGCCTAGCTGACCATGAAGAAAGTGGTTGGGTGTGAGTGGAACATCATCAGAAGGATTCATCGATTGGTAGGTTATTGGTCGAGAGTTCAAGAAACCTTCGACACCTGTGCATATAGTAATCAACTCCTCGTCAGTAACATCACTGTTCTTGATCACCGCATAAATGGCCTTCTTAGCTGCCTTAACCATTATTTCAAAAACTCCACCAAAATGAGGACCTCCAGGAGGATTGAAAGCCCATGTAGTACCCTTCTGTGTTGTGTCTCGCTGAATCTTTTCTCGGTCTAACAGTTTCACCAGATCTTTTAATTCGTTCACCGCCCCGACAAAGTTCGTACCGTTGTCACTGATTACTTCTTTAGGAACTCCTCTTCTACTGGTAAATCTGGTAAACGCATTGAGAAAACTGTCAGTATCAAGCCCCCAGGCTACCTCTAAATGGACGGCGCGTGTGGTTAGGCATGTAAACAAACAAAGCCACCGTTTAAGTCGTTGTTTTCCTCGTCCTTGGACTGTCGTGAACGGTCCTGCATAATCTAAAGCAGTCTGATCAAAAGCTCGGTAGGTGAAACGAAGACGCACTTCCGGCAGGGGTCCCATGACTTGAGAAGCCAGCTTATTCCGTCGTTTTTGGCATGTACAACACTCGTTCTCCCATCCTCTTATTTCTTCTCTAGCTGCCACAATCCAAAATCTTTGGCTGATTTGAGCAAGCACAAAATTAGTTCCTGCGACGTGGTTTGCCAATGCATGATAATATCGCACGATCAGTTTGGTAACCCAATGTCCGCGAGGCAGAATTATCGGGCATCTTGCGTCGTAGGGTAAGCTCTCAGCGTAGTAGAGATGGCTGTTGCACCGAATAACACCTTGCTGATCCATGCGCGGAGAAAGCTTCGCCAGTTGACTCTTCGCTGGCAGAGGTTTTCTATTCGATAGAGCTGCGTACTCAGCTGTAAAGGACTCTTCTTGTGCCTTACGAATGATCACGTCTTCAGCATCACGAATTTCCTCCGGTGCGAGCTCGGTTTGGCACTGCTGACGCTTCTGCTTGTTCCTCAAATTCGTCAAGAACCTGCTAACTCTTGCTTGTATGCGGACTAAGTGCTTCCAGTCTGAAAACCGTTTTGGATCCAACCGCCAGATATCTGTGGGTTGTATCACTTCTTCTGCTTTCGTTGCCAGACTGTGACTACCATCAGGAACCACTGCATTTCCTTTGCTATATTTCTTGTGGGCAGCTTTCGTTTCCGGAAGATTAACTGGAGATTTCGTCAAATCCATTTGAGGCCACTGCGAAGTATCCTGTACCAACCATACTGGACCATTCCACCACAACGTAGACTCGGACAATTGCAACGGTGTTGCACCTCGCGTGCACAGGTCCGCAGGATTTTCAGCAGTGGGAACGTGCTGCCACTGTGCAGGATTGCTATACATTTGTATCTCTCCAATTCGGTTAGCTATAAACGGCCGAAAGTCTCTCCCATAGCCACGAATCCACCATAGCACGTCAGCACTGTCAGAATAGAAGCTAACATCCTGCATGTTCATTTCAAACGCCCGAAGAACATTCTGCGTAAGTCGTAGGCCGAGAACTGCAGCCATTAATTCTAGTCTAGGTACCGTCATTGGTAGCAACGGTGCTACCTTACTCTTAGAGGCGATTAATCTGCTAGAGCGAGTGCCATCCTCGTATGTACATCTCAAATAAACAACAGCTCCGTATGACTTTAGTGAAGCATCAACGAATGTCACCATTTCTCGACGAGCTACTACCTTGTTCTCACATAAACACCTTGGCACATGTATTGTTGCGACATCACGTAACTGCTCAAACCATGCTGATATCCGAATTGCGATTTCATCTTCGATTGTGTCATCCCAGTCGTAGCCGCGAGCCCAAAGTTCTTGCAATATAACCTTGGCGACCATTACGAATGGACTGACAAACCCAAGTGGGTCAAATACCGCAGCAATCGTTCGTAAAACGTTACGCTTGGTTAGTGGAAGGTCGGAGGAGACTCTAGAAGCAGGTAATGTCAGGATATCTTCTTTGCTGTCCCAAGCAACACCAAGGGTTTTAACAACTGGATATTTGTCATCAGTAATTGTGAGCTGCACTGCTTGGTCTTCCACTGGGATCGCCTCCATAACCGCTTCCGAATTCGAAACCCACTTCCTTGCCTGCATTCCCGCATGATTCCAAAGCGAGCTTAACTGCCGATATAACTTGACGCCGATCTTGTCTGTCTCCACACTGTCTATCGAGTCATCCATATAGGTCGACTTTAAAACGGTTTCTGCCGCTAATGGATGGGTTTCTTGGTGTAGTCTTGCATTCTCTTGTGCGATGAACTGCGCCTCCATGGGGGCCGAATTCTTGCCAAAGACGACACGAGTGAACTCATAGACATCGGGCTCTTTCGTACTGTCTAGATCACGCCACAGAACTCGAAAATATGGACGATCGTTTTCTTCAATTTCCACTTGCAGATACATCTCTTTAATATCGCAAGCTAATGCTACTGGATGACGCCGAAAACGAAGTAATACATCGAAAAGCTCCTTCTGTAACTTCGGTCCAGGATTAATGACATCGTTCAAGGATAGTCCGTCTGTTTTAGCCGAACAATCGAAAACAATCCGTACTTTTGTCGTTGTCTTGTCCATTCGAATAATTGGGAAATGTGGCAAATACCATACTTCGGGAGGGATCACTTCGTCTTTTCCGACTTTACGCAAGTAGCCCTTCTCCAAATACGATTCAATTGTATGTTGATACTCCCTGCTCACAATTTCATCCTTCTTTAACTTCCGTTCAGTGCTACCGAGTCTCGATAATGCATTGTTTTTGTTGTCTGGGAGTTTTGGACGATTCTCTTTCCAAGGAATGGCGATCTTGTATCTAGACGTTGCACTATTGTGGCTGATTGATTCTTTCACCTTCTTCAAAGCTTCCCTATCTTCTGCAGTATGAACCATCGAGTTCATGTTCTCTGTACCGTAGCTTTCAACTTCCCAGAATCTTTTGACCTGTTCATCGATCTGGCAACAGGATGTAATTTCTGCAGTACTCCTGGACAAAAATGTTCTAATGGTGTGCGTTCTACAGTCAGTTCCTCGCTGTTTCTCTGTGGCTCCAATGCAACTCCATCCTAGTGGTCCGAGTCGGGCTATTGGGCTTCCTGGTTCCCCACGAACATCTGCTCTTGAATACAGTAAATCTGCGTTGTCGACTCCAATCAATAAGTCCACTAAACCTTCCTTTGCTGGTGTTGCAAAATCACAACTCTGAAGATGTGGCCAGTTGGTTTTATTCTTTGACCAATCCTCTACTTTGTAGCTTCCCGTTACGTTCTGAGGGCACGTTTTGACACCAATTTCCTTGCGATACTGTCCGTTAACACTTTCAATCATAACCTCCACGGGCATGGACTGGAACGTTTCAACCTCATTGTTTAACACATGAACTTTAACTGTCTTGTACGGCTCTTGTAGCCCTAACACTCCAGCAACTTGTTCATTTAGAAATGTTTCATTGGAAGCATCATCCAGAATAGCGTTGACTTTAACTTTCCGACCATTTGCCTTTATCCATACTGGAATGGTACGAAGCGACAAAACTTCAGCAGTTGACACACTCTTATTTCTTGAAGTGTGTGTTCGTGTCTCTGCCCCCTCCCGTGTCAACGGTGACTTCTCGCCTTCTTCCTTCTCCTTCGGTACAACTTCATGCAACAAGTTGTGATGGCTTCTTTTGCACCCTTGCACTGCGCATGGCTTTGACCTGGTGCAGTCCTTACCGACATGATTACTTGCAAGACATCGAAAACATAAATGTTTTTCCTTTGCGACTCCCCAACGATCTGGCACACTCAAGCCAGAAAATACTTTACAGGACCAAACCCCATGATTGCCACCACATACTGCGCAAGGTGGCTTTGAATACGGGCTGCGTGTATCGTCGTTGTTGCTGTGTTTTCCATCTCGATTTGTGAACCAGGTTCGAGGTCGATAACCTCTTTCAGTTGGCTTGGACCTTCCTCTGTCATACTCTCTAGTCTGCTTAGGTTCAATTCCTTGGGCCATTTCTGTAGCCTCAACTCGGATGATTACTTCTTCCTTTAGCCAGTCTCTCAACGCTTTCACTGACCGTATCTTATGTTGTTCACTAAGCCATCGACTGTAATTTTCTACTTGTCGTTCCGATAGTTTCTTTACCAGCAGGCTATGCAATGCACCATCTCCCAGTTCCCCACTGCGCCCCTCAGCTTCCAACTTCACTACGGTTACCCGCACAAGATCAGCAAACTTTTCGAAAGACTGAATGTCATTGTTCTTCAGAGTTGGCATATTCTCTAACTGATCAAGGTAAGCTTGCAACTGACGACGTTGTCCACCAAACTTAGATTTTAATATGTCCTTAGCCTCATTATACTCTGGCGCCGTAACACCCAGTCCACGAATTGCATCAAGGGCATTTCCTGAAAGACTTTGACGTAGTCGAGCCATTTTAATATTTACAGGCTCACTCCCTTCATCAACTAGGCTGATGAATAATGCCCAAAAATCCTCAAATCTAGTTTTATCACCATAATAGACTGGAACTGTTAGTGGTTTAAGACGATGATGGGTTATACCAGTGAAATTGCTTGCAAAACTCGGAGGGCTTGCTTGGGTTGTTGTAGGGTCCGGACTAACATTAGCTGTGATTGTACTGGTAGTGGGATTGCTTGCTAAACTCGGTGGGCCTTCTGTGTCCACAACAGGTGCTGGACTATCATTGACTGTGGTTGTTCCAGTTGGATTGCTTTCGGAACTAGGTGGGCTTGCTTCAACTGTGGGCGCCGGGCTTACATTGACTACTTCTGATACATGTCCTTGTTCAGAAATACTTGATAAGTATTCTTTGATTACTTGTTGTGCTTTCTCCACAGTCTGGTGTCCATCTGATTCAAAGTTTTCCTGTTCTTTTAGAATAGCTTCCTTAGCTTCAGCTTGGTTAGATTTAATATAAGTCGAACACAATTCATCCATCACAGATAAGCACGTTTCCAATGCATCCCACAAAGCCTCAATTTCAGCTTCGATTTCACCACGATTTAATTTACTCTTCTGAGCACACAATTTTTCTAAGTTATGTCTAATTTTTGTCACATTTGTTTTTCTTGCTCGTTTTTCTCGCTTTAATGCAAGCACTGTTTCTTCCAGTTCAAGATCATTCTTGGATACACTTGGTTCATCTGTCTCATTAGTTAACGGCATTATGTCCCTTAGCAAATAAGCTTTGTTTACTGTTTTTGCTTTATTTTTGTTCCAAAGTTATATTTAAGAAATTAATAATTTCACCATAAAGTTCCACAAATATATCAACAAATCGTAATCAATAACTTTAGTTTGTACTCACGCGTCCATTAAAATTACTGTTTATCCCTTGCTTTCCTGGCTATCCCCAACCATCAAGTACGTGTCACGGTATATTTAATACTTTATTAATATAAACTGCCGTCTAATTCCAAATACCTCGTAAATTTGCTATAATTCGATGTAATTATATCGTAGAAACACCCAATAAAGTTTAAAACAAAGCCGAGTTTACCATAAATTTATAAAACGTCCCCGAATATTGTTCCAATACCGATACAACTACGAATAAACGCTGTAAATACGCCAACAGTCCTCGAGCACGATGTTGTGAAATTTTCCCCGATTTTAACCACGAAATTCACTTTAAAAACCCCAAATTCCTCGAACTGTCCTGGCAGGATCGCCAAATGTTGCGATGTAACGATATTTAGCCTCGAAAAGTACTCGATTTAGTACAAAAACAGTGAAAATAAACTTTAATACGAAATTCCTACACGAGTTTACTGTTTACTTAGCGTTCTTTTGTATATTACTCTGATCTTAATAATCCACTGATTGTCTGCGCGCGTGTTCCGCGTTTTGCGTGTAAAAGTCATATCTCTTCTAAACAGCAATCGTGAGATTATATACATGGAAAGAATATGGAAATTATGTTAATCGTGAGATTATATACATGGAAAGAATATGGAAATTATGTTAAAAGCACCCCGTATAATGCTCGAACCACTGCGTACAGTATAATGGCAAACACACTGTGTGTATAATGGCGAAAGCACCACGTATAATGCTCGAACCACTGCGTATCAGTATAATGGCAAACACACTGTGTGTATAATGGCGAAAGCACCACGTATAATGCTCGAACCACTGCGTATCGACAAAATGCCGTTTGATCACTTACGCCAGCTATGTGGCTTTCCACTAAAGAAAACCAAAGATCAGGAAAGATGATCACATTCCGTGTTTGCCTTATGCCTGTTTATTAGGCAAGAATAGCCTGCCGGCCCGGAAGCAGTACATTGGAGTAGGCTGAAATACGCCGAGATTTCATCTGCATATATATAATACATATACATAAAGATTAGGTCTGCTGCCTTGCTCGCTTGCTTCAGGCTCGCTCGCTGCGGAAGCAATTACTGAATGTATGCGAACAACCTTAGTTCGTATATAAAATCAGACAGGAGAACTTCTATTAATGCCTTGATGCGTTTAATTACCTCTTTCACAAAAATACGCCCTGATATACATATAGCTTAAATTGTTTTGCCTTTTTATTAAAAATACATGCATATGCGGATATATATATATACAGTACATTGCTATAAAGACCCTGTTAGTCTATATAAGGACAACAGCAAGAAACAAAAAAAAGCATTTTATTGTATTACTGGCCATGGATATTTGTTACGTTAAATTGTCCTGTATTTATCTGTTTACAAACATACTCTTCAGGCCACTTTTCCGCTTAGCCTGCATGGCAGGCGGTCTTTCCCAGGTTTCCCGCAAAAATTGCCTGGTGCATTGGAAGTAAAATTTCCGTTTCGTATAGATGAATTGTTTGAAAGTGTTATAGCCCTGTCACGAATGTCGCCAATCAGAATGACTATGTTTATTGGATACGATACAAACATATTGAGCTATAAAGTGTAAATTCTACTCTGTAACTGTAAGTGGGCAACGCTATAGACCCTCAAATTTTGTTATTTTATCTAACATGGAACTCCTAGAAACATGTCTATCCTCATCAGGAATGCCAACGCACACTCATGACTGATAGCTCCAATACGATAATCGATCTAACAGGAAGGTTTAGGCGCGCACTTGCCGCTGATTGGCGAATGACATGCACCTCTTTTACAAGTTTCTATGCATTCGTAAAATTCGTCACTACTATACATACAACAACATGCAGTATTTTTAAGCTATACTGCAGTATTTTTAAAGAACAAAAATTCTGTGTATAAGTATTTTTAAGCTATACTGCAGTATTTTTAAAGAACAAAAATTCTGTGTATATTTACCTCCGCCAGGAGGTTATGTAATCATCTGGGTTTGTTACCTCCGCCAGGAGGTTATGTAATCATCTGGGTTTGTAGTGTGTGTGTGTGGACCTCCGCCAGGAGGTTATGTAATCATCTGGGTTTGTATGTGTGTGTGTGTGTGTGTATGTGTGTGTGTATGTGTGTGTGTGTGTATGTGTGTGTGTGTGTATGTGTGTGTGTTTGTCTGTGAGCACGATAACTCAAGAAATACCAAACATATCCGTACAAAATTTTGTGAGTGCATTTCCCATCGGCTAAGGAAGAACTGATTAAAATTTGGTTGAATTTGGTTAAAAATTTAAACAAAAGTTTGTCTTGCTTTTCCCGGTCAATTAAATCAAACTTTATACTGAATGCGTAATTAGGACGTGCATAATATATGCACCAGCCATTCAAATTCTAATAACAATAGATTACTTCAATATTTTGCGCGTAGGCGGAGGTATGCAGTCTCTGAGTGCCCTCTAGTTACACATGCGTTTGTTTGCATACTTTACAATGACTGCAGGCGAGATAACACATCTTATTATACATCACAAACTTTTCATGCGTCTTGTTTGTATTACGTGTAAAACATGGCGGACATGTCGCGTGCGGCATGTAGTAAAACACTGACTACCGGAACACCACCGGAACACCGGAACACCACCATTTTGTTTGGGGTTAGGACCGGAACACCACCGGAACACCGGAACACCACCATTTTGTTTGGGGTTAGGCTTAGGATTAGGGTTTGGGGTTAGGATTGGGGTTAGGGTTAGGGTTGGGGGTTAGGAATTGGGGTTAGGGTTAGGGTTGGGGGTTAGGATTGGGGTTAGGGTTAGGTGGTGTTCCGGTGGTGTTCCGGTGTTCCGGTAGTCAGTGTTTTACTACATGCCGTTCCGGTGTTCCGGTAGTCAGTGTTTTACTACATGTGTTCCGGTGTTCCGGTAGTCAGTGTTTTACTACATGCCGTCGCGTGCTCCGCTTATGTTTCAAGTTTTTGCTTTAGTACTTCTGAGTTTCTGCATTCATAAGAAACAATTTATACAATCAGATGGCATAAGTATTACTATACTTGAAGAAGATGAAGGAATGGTGAAGGAGAACTACATATTTTCGACAATTTGGAGTTACAATCGAAGCAGTGAGTGTTTTGTTTATCAATCAACAAGGAGAAGTATGTATGCATGTGCTTTTGTTGTTAATATGTGGTGATATTGAGGCATGTCCAGGACCGTTAAATGCTCAATTACATGACTTTATTCAACTCAGAGGGATGAAAATTTTTCACCAAAATGTTTGCGGATTGTTCACTAAGTTTCATAGTCTGGAAGAATTGTTTGACCGGCATGAGAATATCGACATTTTAACACTTTCGGAAACGCATATAGTTAATGGACAGTTTGATGATAATGAAGACCTATACAAAATCCCTGGATATATGTTGGTGAAGAGTAATCGGAAAGTAGGAAAAGGTGGGGGTGTAGCTATATATATTAAGGAATGTATTGAGTGGAGAAGAAAGCAAGATCTTGAGAATGATAGCGTCGAAAGCATGTGGATTGAAGTATTCATTAAGAATTCGAAAAGTTTGTTAGTAGCGGTGTATTATAGGCCACCGGAGAGTTCACACTATTTTCCAGCGAATTTTGATGAAACTTTTAATGATACACTTAGAGAAAGTGCAAACGAGTCAAAAGAAATCATAATCTTAGGAGATTTCAACATTAACTTTCTAAAAGCGAGTGAACATAAAGATTTTAAAGAATTAATCAGACTTTATGGTTTCAGTCAAATTATTAAACAAGCAACCCGTATTTCTAAAGATACATCAACGCTAATTGATATTATACTAACAAATAACCCATTAGTATTGTGTAGGAGTGGTGTTTTTATGGTTGATCTGAGTGATCACGAAATGGTTGGTTGCATACGTAAATTAAACAATGTCAAATTTACTCCAAAGGTTATAACATGTCGTAATTACTCGGCTTATGAGCCTGAAGTAATGAAAGAAGATTTTAGGAGAGTCAATTGGCAGTCATTATATACTATGAACGATGTTAACAAGGCATTAGAGTACTTTAACTATACTGTTAAAGCTATCTTTGACCGTCATGCGCCTCAAATGGTTAAGAACGTAAGAGGAAAACCTTGTCCATGGATTAATTCTGATATCAGAAAAACAATGTCGTCTAGAGATTGTATGCTAAGAAAAGCGCGTAGAACAAAAAAGGTAGAACATTGGAATTTATATAAGAAATTAGGAAACGCTTGCAATAACAAAATGCGGTTTGCGAAGAGTACATATCATAACGACTTGTTGGAAACAGCATCAAGTCCTAAAAAGTTTTGGAATATAATTAAAAATATCTTTCCCACGAAACCTAAATCGATATCGATGTCAGTGAACTCAAAAAATGACAAAAACAAATACAGGGTAAATATCTTTAGTACATACTTTGCTAATGCTATTCAACTGCTAAAGGAAAAATCAATGCCGTTAAGGAATTTTGCATGGAAACAGCCAGTTAAAATAGCGACACGAACACAGAAAATATTCCAAATTAAGCATATATCAACAGGTTTTGTCCTTAATGAGCTGAAAAAATTTCAAAAAGGCAAGTCCACTGGGGTTGATGAGCTGCCGGTAGGCATGTTGAAGGATATTCGCGAGTTTATTTCATACCCATTGTGTCATATTCTAAATTTATCGATTGAAACATCCACAGTACCAACCATGTGGAAAGTGGCAAAGATAATTCCAATATACAAATCTGGATCATATGAACTTCCTGAGAACTTTCGACCAATATCGGTGTTGCCAGTTTTGTCAAAACTATTGGAAAGAGCTGTTCATGGGCAATATCTTAGATTTTTAGAAGAAGAAAAATTATTAACTGATTATCAATACGGGTATCGGATGAAGAGATCAACAAATCTAGCTGCAATTCAATTTATCGATGACATAAGAAACGAAGTTGATCAGGGGAACCTTGTTGGGGCCATTTTTATAGATCTCAGCAAGGCCTTTGATACTATTAGCCACGATGCCCTTCTTACAAAGTTACAGGCATATGGTGTTCGAAATAGAGAATTGACATGGTTTACAGACTATTTGTTCGGACGACAACAATATGTTCAACTTGGAGGCAATAAATCGTCAAACCAACCTGTTTTTATTGGAGTTCCTCAGGGATCAGTGCTGGGACCTTTGTTATTCCTAGTGTTTTATAACGATCTTGTTGACATAGGGATAAACTCACGTATTATAAAGTATGCTGACGATACTGTTATCTATTGCTCTGGAAAAAATATAGAAATGATAGAGAAAACACTGTCAAGCGATATGGATGTAATTGCAGAGTATTTTGATGCAAATGAATTGTTAATAAATCTAAAGAAAGGGAAAACTGAAATGATGGTTTTTGGTACTGGAAAAAGATTATCTGCACAACCTCGTCAATTGAGAGTTGAATATAGAGGGCAACCTATAAATACAACACAATCCTACAAACATCTTGGTTACGTACTTGATCCTGGTCTGACACTTAATGAAAACTTTGAGGCAGCCTATAAAAAAGCTAGTAACCGAGTACGATTATTATCAAGGATCCGTAACTATGTGACACCAAGTGTGGCGACGAAGATATATCAAATGATGATTGTACCAATAATTACGTATAGTGGGATGGTCAAATTATTTCTAACTGAGACGAAGCGACGAAAGCTTACGTCCATTGAAAACCGAGCACGAGCAATTATTGGCGAAGAAATGTACTTGCCTGATCTGGATAAATTGATAAGAAAGAAAGCGTGTGATGTTTTACGAAAATGCTTGGAAAAAGATATTTGCAGTAACTTCTATAATTATTTTGAAATTAATAACCATAGTCATAATACGAGAAACAGAAATAATATGATAAAGCTACCAAAAGTAAAGCTTGAATTTGGTAGACATGCTTTTCGCTTTGCAGCGGCAAGAATTTATAATGACTTGCCTTGCGAAATTCGAGCTGAAAAGGACAGCAAAATATTTCGAAAACTGCTAGAAAATTATTACCAATGATTAAATTATAGTATACATTATTAATATAGATTATAGATTATTTAGTATGGACTATTTAGTTAAATAGAGGACACATATTGATAACAGTAGATTACTGAAATGTTTATCCTCTGTAAAGATTTTGAAATACAATACAATACAAATACAGTTGTAAACCCTGGCTATACGCTACTGACGTCATTCACTTCCTATCTAACATACTGTTACCATCAACTGCCAGCAAATTGCTTAATTATCATATACCAGTCATTGCTTTTCACCGGCTGCGAAACGTTCTCCTGCAGTCATAAGCCGTGAGCTAGTGCCCTCAAACGTTTAGTTTCACTGTATACCTCGCTAAGTTATACTATATTTTTAAGATTTAAACACGCTGAATCCAATTCTAAAAAGTTCTTGTCGATAAACCCTGCAGTTTTTTTGTAAATTGCGATAAAAATGTTAAAATTTACGACTTTCGCAATAACATTTTTACTATATGCCACACCTCAAAATGCGTACTTTCGGAAGCATTCACTCGCGCGCCATAGTGAAAATTATACAGGATAGGTCACTTCCGCCTAATCTTGAGATATGTGAATTCAGATTTGATGTAATTGCGACCGAACGTATTTTCTGGCTTTGTAGATACCTAGCAACACCAGCCACCAGGCATTCTTTCAAGATTATGAACTTTTAAAGTGTAGACAATTTCATCTTTTAATATGGCGTGTAATGAACAACAAATTAAAGAAACTTCAAGTTTATAGTAACAAAAATAGATTTTTAGATGGTAAACCAAAAACTATCAAATACTAATAAACAATATTTAAAGCACACTATAGTTTTCTTTTCGTGTAAAACTACACAATCACCACAATCCACTGCCTCGTCATGAAAGTTATTGACATTGTCAATTTATCTTCATCCATATCTCATTGTTCTCAGAATTGCTGCGTTGGTTCAGTGCATTTCAAATTTTTGCTTTAAAACAAGAGCATCTTTTTGTTTGAGAAGCCTTTTTCCATTCGCAGCCAACAAATTTTATAAAGATGCTGTCGTCTGTCTGGTACAGGGGTGGAAAAGTATCAAAAACCAATAGAAAGGATGTTACCTGTTCTGTATCAGTGAAAATTGATGCATTTCTTAGCTCATTCCTATAGGAATGAGCTAAGAAATACATCAATTTTCACTGATAGTGTGATAGTATATAAATGTATAGATTAGAGAGTTACTATATACGAGGTGTGATATCCGCCAAAATTTATATATTCAATTATGCCATTGGAAATTGCATTTATAAAGTTCAGTTATGCTATAATTATGATATTCGATATTATGAATTATGCCATTGGAAATTGCATTTATAAAGTTCAGTTATGCTATAATTATGATATTCGATATTATGATATTCAAATTTCATTCGGCTTGAAACAGTCATTTATTGAAATTTCATTCGGCGTGAAACAGTCATTACTGAAATAGTCATTCGGCGTGAAACAGTCATTACTGAAATAGTCATTCGGCATGGCACTCAGAAACCAAAATTTGACTTCCGGTGTAGCGGGAAAAGCACGCAGGGAATTATAATTTCAACATGGCCGAAGGCGAAGGCAATTTAAGTCAACAGTGTGCTGTTTCTTTGTTGCAAGAAGCAACAAGAATGATCAGAGAATATCCTGGATCATCAAATGATGTTTCTTCAGCACAAGTTGCAAATCCAAATGTAATTTCTCAAAGTGAATCGCATGCTACTACATCACCTGGCGACAATGACGTCAATACATCAAATTCAGAAAGAGTGTTGGGGAATTTTAGAAATCTTTTTGGGCTGTATGGGCATACTGGTTGCCGATGTCTAAGTTCCTCAACACAGTTGTTTCCAAATGAATATGTTTACTGGGACAACAGTTATATTTCTGTCTTGTTGCCTTACTTTGTCTTCGACTTCGGTCATGGTGGAATTACAACTTCCCGCTAAACCGGAAGTCAGGTTTGGGTTCCGTGTGCCATGCCAAACCGGAAGTCGAATTTTGGTTTCTGAGTGCCATGCCGAATGACTGTTTCACGACAAATGAAATTTCAATAATTTATGACTGTTTCATGCCGATTGAATTCGAATAACATAATATCAAATATCATAATAGTATAACTGAACTTCTTGAATGCAATTTCCAAATGCATAATTGAATATATGAATTTTGGCGGATATCACACATCATAACT